TTCATTTATTAAGTTCTGCCTTTGTCTGGTTAAGAATCACGTTACCTGAAGAGACTAGTTAGTATTTTTGCAATAACTTAAATATTGTTCTAAGTAATATTTGGTGGGTTTTATTATTGATTTACCTGGGGGACCAAGGCACCCCATTTATAAATTGTCTTGGTGGTGGCAGCGTTAAAATAGTAATAGTTATATTATTATGTTTAAGTGTGGGTGGTGTTAAAGGGGGATTTTGTCATTATTTCCGGTCTAGTGCAGACAAATAGTGTACTTTAACCCTTTCACCACCACAGCTACGTCACGCACACTCTTGGAGTAGGGCGCGTTCGTGACAGTCACAATGTACATTAAAGAGAAACAATGAAGTAAAGAAAAATATCTATCATCTCTCTCTCTATACACACACACCACACACACAAAAAAATACAAAAATGAAGAAAAACTAAGTTTTCTACCCAGTGGCGTACTAAGGGGGGGGGGGCGGTCTGGGTGCTGGAGGGGGCTGTGTGAGCTGTATGGCCGCACAGTGCCCCATGGTAGTTAGGGTGCGGCCAGAACAGCTCACATACGCAAGGAGCAGCTAAACTGGCCGCACGGAGGAAAAGTGGGGGCAGAGCTAAGCAAAATTGGGGACGGAGCCAAACTGGCAGCGGGGGCGGGGCTTAATATGGCCCTTACTCGCTGCTGTTAGGAGGTGCAGCAAGATGGAATCTGCTTTTCCACAGGCTTCAGAGAAGGACTTAAGGGAATCCAGTCCACTGTGTGTAAGTAAGAGTGTGTGTCTGTGTGTAACTGTATGCCTGTAAGTGTGTGTGTGTGTGTGTGCGTGTGACTGCCTGTAACTGCGTGTGTGACTGTCTGCCTGTAACTTTGTGTGTGTTTGTGTGTGCGTGTGACTGTCTGCCTGTAACTTTGTGTGTGTTTGTGTGTGCGTGTGACTGTCTGCCTGTAACTTTGTGTGTGACTCTCTGCCTGTAACTGAGTGTGTGACTGTCTGTCTGTAACGGAGTGTGTGACTGTCTGTCTGTAACGGAGTGTGTGACTGTCTGCCTGTAACGGAGTGTGTGTTTATGTGTGTGCGTGTGACTGTTTGCCTGTAAATGAGTGTGTGACTGTCAGTAACTGAGTGTGTGGGGCTGCAGGAATTTTGTAGAAGATCGCAGGGGTTTTGTATTGGGACAGGAGTCTTTATAAGGGGGATAAGCAGGGGATTTGTGGAAGGGGATTGCGGGGGTTTTGCAAAGTTTACAAATTGTAAAAAAAAAAAAAAAGAAAACCAGGATCTGCCCCGGGTGCCAAATGCTCTAGGTACACCCCTGTTTCTACCTCTACTGCACTTAGACAGCACATTTCAGTAGCAGGCAGACCCTTATCTCACCAGGAAGCGGCTCACTCTAAGAACTGAGAAAAATTGTGTAATAGCATCTAATGAAATGAACACTCCAAGTATATAGTGATTATAGTTCCAAGAGCGCATTGCGCCCCCTCCCCCCCATGTAAGTAGTCAAATATTCCACTAAGTGCCACTGTCCACCTCTTTTTGTGCTATGAGAGCAGGAAGCTCCTGCTAGCTTTCCTGCAGTGCAGGACCAGCTCATTGGCTGATTATGGGCTGTTATAAAACTATTTGACTACTTTAATTGGAGATGGGATGAAGGGGGGGCAGGGGCTCCAAATCAATCTATGCACCATAACCACTACTGCACACTGTAATGGTTATGTGGCTCGGAATGTTCTTTGAACTTGCAATAAAAAACAGCCTGTAATTGTACACAGCACAACTATCCTGGCTGCTATTTAGCAGCACTGTACCTATAAACCATATAGGTTCTTGTACAGTGCTACAGGTAGGCATTATCCTACAGACTTGGACCTGTGTATACAAGAGGCTGGTAGAAGGGGTTTAAAATATTAGTCCATTCAAGAATGATCCTTTACTGCAGTCTAGGAATCAAAGGGGGAAAAGATAATTTAACTCCCTTTGTTTCCCCTACTTTTTGATTGAACCTCTGCATCTTTTTGCATCTCAAACCCAAATTAAGTATGGTATTTGTTGTTAATCCCATTGTACAGCGCTATGGAATCTGATGGAGCTATATAAATAAAATAATTTTCCACTCCTCAATTATAATATAACAAATCCTAATATAAATGACTAATTTCATTCATACGACTCTTCTATTGTCAGAGGGTCTCCATTGCCCTGGGGAAGGCAGATCTACTGCAGCAAACGTACTGCTGACAGTTGCCTGAGGACTGATGAATATGACAAGAGGAACCCTATTTGCTATTAGTCTCATGGGAGGTGTAGTCCACAGAAGCAGCTGCAGTTTCCAAGCTCTGTATCAGGAGATTGGTATTTTATTAGTGTAGAATAGCGGATATTAAGGAAACCCATGTCTCTAATCTTGGGTTATTTATACCCAGTTCACGTCCACCCCATGGCTAAGAGCTCAGTATCTCTTAGTCGCAGCTCAAGCAAATGTGTCAGAGCTGTGTCTCCCCATACACACGGGACTGACATCCCTACAAGCCCCTCCTCAATACAGAGACCTGCACATAGAGACTCAATACTGCAATGCAGCACCTTTTGTCAGTCACGACAGGCCATGACACTGCTCATAGGGCCTGCAAACAATACTGCCAGCAACGGGCCAAGCTATAGCAGAGTTACATGGGTCAGGCTATTATTCTTTAACCATTTGAGCGCTTTTTTTTTTGTTTGTTTTTTTTAACTATATTAAACCAGGTTGTTCTCATTTGATTTGCAAAAGATAGGAAACTAAATAATTAAATGTAAAAAAGAAGCATTAATCACCAGAAGCATAGAATACCACAACAGTTTGCAGTGCTGTTGTCCTTAACCTGTTGATGACATCATCGCAGACTGATCTTTAAATACCCTATACCGGTATTCTATATAACTAGGCATATTGTACAATCTTGTATCCAATCAGAACTCAGCAGTTTCCGTAAGCATCTCAACCATCCTGTACCTGCCTCTGGTCCTCTTGTGAGAGCATTAAAAACCGAAGTAAAGATGATCGATTAAGCAGTTATAAATATGATACCAACATTATTATTTACGAAAGTGTAAACGGTCTGAAATTCTAAATTATATTCAAACTGTAAACCGAAGCAGCTGAATTGGAAAGATGGCTAACTTGGAAATCTTTTTTCCAGTTTAACTTTTATGTCCTAAAATATATGATTTCATTGAACTCCCAACAGTTTAGCGGATTAACCCAGCGGGGATCAAAGTTAGTAGAATATGAAGTTCAAACCAAGATTCACGAGTGTTTGGGTTAGAATTAGGTTTAGTGAATCTTATTATAAGTGATTTTCAAATTTAAGGCCAGAGTAGAGGATCTGGAAGCATAGCCGGCTTGGAGAATTGTTCCAGTTCAGCTACTTTTTGATTCCCTTTGAATTCTCACGTTAGTGAATAACTGAGGGTTATGCTTCAATTCACCCCTAGCCCTAAATGTGACATGAATTTGGTTTTTATTGCTCTCCCTAACAATTGAACCCTAACAGTCTTCTTATTGTACTCCAACTGGACATGGATGCAGGCGGACAGACACAAAAAGACTTAAAAAGTTTTAAAGTTGCATGGGCTGTTTCATACAGAAATTTTTCTGTACAGTGAAATGCTTGCAATAATGCAAAAATCCTTCTGCTGGGAAAGAAGTCATGTAATGCTATTTGTTTTCTTGTTCAAAGTATTTAAAAGAAACCTGATACACACAAGGCTCAAGGCTATGATTATCTATAAGGCACCAACATACTGTGCAGCGATGTACAACATATCTGGCTCAAATGGGAGTACTTGTAACCTTAAGCAGAGACAGATAATACCTGAAACTCCTATAGTAGAATATTGCCATCAAGCTCAGCCAGGCGTAGACATAAAAAAAACAAAAAAAACAACACTTTTTTCCCCACAATATTTTCATTTCCACATATCCAACTGAGAATAGTTTGCTACTGTTAATCATTGATGTGTCACTAGCTGTCAGGCACTACAGGATTCTACAATGTCTACATATTGCTGTCATCGTGATGGGTGAATATCCACAGGGCTGGGGTGGTGATGAAAAAATAAAATCATATTACTGCTTTACTATATATGGATTTCCAAACAGGCTTTGTAATTGTCAGCTCAGTATTAACTGAAAGATGGTGGCTACATTTTGACAGTTTCATTGACGAAAGTTTAGAAGTTAATACTCTAGATGTGGTATGTCCAAACGGACAATTAGATGTTTGGTGAAGTCAGCTCAGATTGCTTTACTTCCAAGGTTCACAACATTTGCAATAGCATCTGTAATGTAAAATAGCCTTGCAAACTAGAAAATGCTATTAACATTCCTTTCTAGGTTAAATAGATTGTTTATTATTAAAGGAACACTACTGGATCAGGAACACAAACATGTATTCCTGACTCTGTAGTGTTAAAAACCCTATCTAGCCCCCTAGGCCTCCTAAAAATAGTACATTCTTATTGCTGGTGCTGGCTCTGCCTCCTTAGCTGACATCATCAGAAGTGATGATCTCAGCCAATCACAATGCTGCTATCTGGAGGTGTCCTTAGGGGCAACGTAAAGCCTGCAGGGCCTGACTATACTCACCAGAACAACTACAATAAGCTGTAGTTGTTTTGAGGACCATAGTGTCCCTTTAAACTGCGATATGTGAAAAGCTAATATTATGGCAAACTCTAGGGCAAAAGGGTCGACCTGGATATTCAAATCTGGTACTGTGGCTTACATTTTTGTCAAAATCTGCTATTTAGTGAATAAAACCAAACATCCTTTGTTTAAAAACGTTTCATAAGCAATGTTATCAAACAAAAATAATTTTTTTTAGAAGTGTGCCTTTTTTAGTTTTAGAAAGATTACTCTGAGCAACATTAAAATTTCTCCTGTTGAATACATTTGTTTGTTAGCACTCTTATTACTAAATATTTTTGGAAAATTTCAGAACAAGCCACAAAACGGTAGAAGCAAAAACACATTTTATTCACAAAAGAATTTGAATTATATTCTTGTAAAACAAAATAAAAAATATTTGTATACTTTAATCAGTGACCCTTGACCTGTGACGAGGTTAAAAGCTTAAGCATTAAGAATGGAAAAATCAGTTTAAAATGTAACTTTGTATGAGAAGTATTTAGGCATAAACAGACGTGCAAAGGTACATCTTAGCAGAAGCCGCCATCAGTGGCAGAGACACAATTTGCCAATGGTAATTTTGAGCATCGAACTACAAAGTACCATTAATAGTAGAATTACAGGATCTCCATGCAAGAAGACGGGTGAATCACCTGTAATGATCGGGAGATGCCCAACCAACGTTGGACCCAGTGTTCATTTGGACATGCATAATGGGTAGACATTGTTATATTTTGCAGTTTTACTTCCATGGCATTCCGAAACTTGGTGTACCTCCCAACATTTCAAATCCCCGTTGAGGGACACTTTCGTTTTAGAAGGTATGTCAAGAGGTGTAATGTTATTCTAGGTTATTTTAAGAGACTTTGTGACCAATGAAACATTTATGTAATTGGAAATATAATTTAAAACCAACGTGTTGCTTACATAGACTGATTTCTAAACATTTATCCGTATTGTAAAGACTCATTACTGTAGGTTTTATTGGGGCTCTGATATACATGCATACAAAGAAGAAAAATATGCAAATTAGGATGGACATGACGAACAGACAAATTAAGGCTTAAAATAAAGACGCTAGCTCCTAAATTGGGATGCCTGGGAGGTATGACTGTGTGGTTTATGCTACATTTACCATTCTCCATGTATTATCTACTGATCTAAAAATGAGATCAGGCACTCTTCACAAAATGACATCTTCTTTATTTGATTTAGATATAAAAATAATAAGACAGATGGGATATCGGAAGATAGGTGAAGGGCAATGGTAGACACACATCCTAAAGCATTTCACACAATACGTTTAGCCACTGGCATTCTACGAAACTTCTACAAAGTCGTACCTTTGATAATCATAAGATTTCATGTCAATGCCTCATTAGGTGTGCACTCATAGAATAACCCAAACACCAATGGGTTAACAACACTGGGGCAAGCCATAAGCTAAAATCAAATTAAACCAAATCAAGGTCCCCTTCTGGAATTCGTAACATCATTAAAAACAGCCATACTTGGGTCAAAGGTACAGTAGTGACCCCATCCCCCCCATGCCCAAGGCATCAAAGTACCTAATGAATATTAATATGATAAGTCAAGCATGGCAATATTAGATTGCAGCAATCACCCTCATCACCACCACCTCATACTGGAAGAAATAGTACCACAACATAAAATATAAATTTTAAAAAACGAACAGCAAGCACACAATGGAAGGACTTTTGAAAAACAGCCTATTCCAAAATATGAGCTCGTGGCAAGAGTAGGAGAAAGGTAGGTACAAATCCTGCCCTAGATAAACATTGCAACATGGACACAAATCACAGCGATGGATAACAGCAGTTTGCTTGACACCTCAAAAGAAAATATAATGGAATAAACTCTTTGTTGACCTGCTTCTCTTAGGGAGCACACTTTTACTGGGACGCTCTAGTTCACGGAATTATAAAGATTCGCTAACTTGGAATTGAGGAAAAATAGATTGCTAATGAATTGAGCTACAGAAGTCGAAATAAAAAAACTATACAACCTGGCTGCATCACTAGTTTTTCTATTTTGACTTCTCTGTCAATGACCTGCAATTCTTGAATTAACTGAATTAAGTACCATAGATCAGTGAGGCTAATATACAGGATGTAGCAATAACATGGTTGAGCAAAATGGGCTTTTTCCCCCTTTCCCTAAAACAATTCTGCGCTGTTCCCCATTCCGGAGATCTCCAGCAATGCAAAAGAGGCATGGCGTCACTTACTGAAGCTATAAGATAATTGATACATTACGGGGATATCTAAAAATATGGCAGCTACATGGGTAGTGTATCTGCTTGCATCCCACAATGCACTGCATGTACCAGCAGCTATCTAAGGATTGTAACAAACTGCACCAATGCATTTTGAGGGATGGGATGGGAGGGGAGAGAATGGGAGGGAGGGGAGAGAATGGGGAGAGAGGGAACAAGACACCTGCTTGCATTCACAATGGCTGCCATCTTAGAGAAGGTAAGACAAGCTTCAGCTGAACATATCTCATAATGCATACAATTGATGGTCATTATTTTAGCACAATGTATAGAGATTCAAGTTCTATACTTTCTGATCTTGTTATAACCACATTTACTATACGCCAAGTACTTTAACAACATACTGGGAGCCCCTGGGGCAATGCAGTCTTTTTTGGCAAGGGGTGTCATGCATGTTAAATTATGGATATTAAATTCAACTACTGGATGTTCTCCATCCGTTATTGCATAATCCCTTACTCGGACCTGGAAAATCACCCAAATTCGATCTCTTTATAATTTGGAAAAATAAGCAGAAGAAAAAAAAAAAAAGGGTTTAGATGGAGCCCAGGCCATTGTCCCAAAATATGTCACCATAACCGTGAACTTCTTGTTCCAGATCTGACATGTCTAGGTTTTTATTTGTGGTATGCATCTCAAAACATGCTTTTTTGATGGACTATGCTATCAACTCGTGTGCTCTGTTGGCAAGCCTCATGAAGGAATCTGTGGTCTGACCCATACAATGCTCAGCTGTGCTTATCACCCAATCTCATTCCAAACATTCACCACTTGCGCTAATGCCTCTTTACATTATCATAATAGCAAGCAGAAACACAGGCTCTGCTGGAATAAGAATAAGGAATCAGATAGCATGTAGCTCTAAGTGAAGATAATGTATTTAACATGTTGGACTTATTGTAAAGTAGAAAGGGGAAAAATAAATTATTAAAAAGACCCCCACCTAAACCTCTAGTTAACATAGTAGGGCATAACAGAGCATCGAAAGTGAGCCAATATGTTCTATGTCAATACTTTTTCCCGTGAAAAGTTTTACAGAATACATTTTCCGCTTATGAAATCTCTTGTGCTTAAACCTGATAGGCTGTTTAAACCATATCCATTTAAAGCTTTGCAACTTGTATTTAAACAGACTCACAACATACTAAACAGATACATTTATAAATGTGCCATGGATTCCAGCAAAATAATGCAGTCCTCCCCTGGCCCCCACTAAAATCTAGGAATCTACTACACTTTCAATACATTGCACTGGAAAATGATTATGCCCTATTTTGGAATATAAAGATTTTGTTAGATGGCAGGTTCACTTAAAGCTTTGCTCAACAACTTAAGCTAGACTAGATATTTGACCTCTGACCGCAGGCCCCCCAAAACGTTATCTGCTTATATCACCCCAAGAAAGAAGCTTGTGTTAAAATATTTCATATCCTTTATAATTTTTAAACGTTTAATATGTGTGAATTATGCTTCCCTAGAAAATTTAATATTTACACAGTGATTTTGTTTTCCTCTTTCAAGTGAAGAGAAAATGTTATTCACTGAGAAATAATAGGGGAGGGTGGGGAAAACAACAAAAAACACAAAATAGGTGAAACAGGCAAAGCTAATCCAATTTTAAGCTGTGCATCGGAGGGCCACAAAGCGTACAACACTGCAGTCACTGTATTCTCATATACGATAATTCCAGCCATTGCCTGGTTTTTGTGAATTATGGGTTGAGGTACAAACCCGATTTGTAGAAATTTCGCTACATATTTAGAACCCCACAGTTTTGTTTTTTCCAGTCAATCAGTCCCAAAACCAGGAGGTTCAGTGATCAGAAACATGTTTTTGTTTTTTTCTGCAGGGGTGCAACAGTGTTCTTGCAAAAAGTGCAACAGAGGAAATGATAAACAGACTCTGTATGCGGCGCTGGAAATAATCCCACCCCAAAAGTGGGTAACTACAGCTTGCTCTAAAAAACAGTTTCTCTTTTACAGCACGTGGAAGAAAATGCTTTTTTTTTTTTTTTAAATAAAAAAAGGAGAGGAGCGAAGCATCCAAAAACACTTGCATACAGGTGCTTTCTGTAAAGGAAATTTTTTTTCTTTAGTTTAGTTTTAGTAGGAAGTGAGGCATTAACCGTGTCCAATTTTGACCCACTTGTTTCGACTGACGTAGAGAAGTAGAAAATAAATTAAAATTGAGTTGGTTGGAGTGTATCGGTTCATGCTGATGTATCCCACTCCGATCGAGGCTCTGAAGATCCGTTGATGATCTTTTTGATTTTCTTCACGCCTGAAGTTGCCCCTGTTGTGGTTACTCTGTGCAGAGATAAAAAGGTGACAAAAGATTATTACCAGCATTTTATATAGCGCCAACATATTCTGCAGAGTTTTACAATTATAGAATATTTGAAGGTCCTGCAAAAAAATTGAGGTAGGCGAATATCGTTGGGTGCCCAAGGACATGCACTGTCAAGGTGGTCTGACCTGAGTTTCCCAGAATTAAAGTTATGACATTAACACTGTTCTAACCAGCTGAGATTATGGGACATGACAAAGAAAGACAGATGATGGTTAACGAGCTTAAACATGTGTTTTATCTTCATGAATTGCACTTTATGAAACACTTGTTTTTGGTTTTTTTTGGTGACCGAGCCACTTTAAATCCAATAGGTAACCTGTCCTTGCACGGCCAAACGTGTGTACTGAACAAACCCTTTTAGTCTATGCAGAGTTAATCTGTCATCCTTCTCTAAAACAAAAACATTGGCTAGGCATTAGAACACTTACATTAATTGTGGATTAGCATACATAGATTTTGTTATTACTATTTAAATCAGAACCTTTCCTTGTTAGAAGTGAATTGTTTAAAATATGAAGTGAAGGTCAGTCAATGGAATATGGTATAACAAGGCAAAATCAATCAGAAAATTCAAGGTTTACTGCAAAGAGGAGAAAAAACAACACACACTTGAAAAATAATATCAAAGTATTAAACAAGGAAAGGTAGAGTTCAAATTTTTCCAAACACATCCAGGGGTCTACATATTATTCCATAATTTCATGACCATCCTTTTATTGACATCCTTTTATTAAGACTTAGAGGCTGTGTTTAATTTGCCAGGAATCTAAGCCATGATTCTAAGATACTGTAGCTGGATATCTACCCCCTGAACTACATCAGCTCTGCACACCCTATAGGTGGGATCTTTTGCAAAATTGAGATAATCTCTATTAGTGGATAAAGAGGCTCACTCCCCTATCTAATGAACATGGCAACAACTGGTCAAAGACATAGCGGTATTGAAACTTTGTAGGTTAAATCAGTAGAAAAAAAACAAAAAAACATCTTGTACATTATTTGAAGTTACAAATTATATAATCTGCTCTATGTAAGATAGGGGTGCCTAAAAGGTAGATCCCCAGATGTTTTAAAACGACAGTTTCCATGGTGATTTATCATTCTAAAGATACGCAAAGCATCATGGGAGTTGTAGTTCTGTTTGGGCACCCCCAATGTAAGATACTGTATTGGTGGGGGTTTTCAACCCCTTAAGGACCAAACTTCTGGAATAAAAGGGAATCATGACATGTCACACGTCGTGTGTCCTTAAGGGGTTAAGGAGACGTGATATTTGAACCCAGTTTTGTGTTGATCGGGACAAATATTTCAGACCGCTTTGGAAGGAATGGGAGTAGACTTCACTATCTGGAGTCATAAAACATAGGAGGGCAAATAAATTGCATTACTAAGGATTGAGGAGAATTTGGCTACAGCCACTGTATATATACACACACAACTTTGTTTCCAGACCAACACAGTGAAACCCATAGACAAAAGGAGCTGCAGAGAATCAGGAATCAAATGACGCTTTTATGTTAGGAGAAACATGACTGGTCTTACTAAACTAGGACATCTGACCGGTCGGACACAAAACAGATGTATGGGCTGGTGGGGAGCAGAAAAAGAAGAAAAGGAGAAAAAAACAAAAAAAAACACTCTTCTTAATGCAGACACTTTATGGTGCCGTGAAATAATGTGCCAACTTATCAGACATATATTAAATATATAGAGTCTATTGCATTTTAAAGGAAGATTAAAAGCACCAAAACCACTACAGTTTAAAGGGACACTATTAAATTTAGCTTAATAAAGCAGTCTTGGTGTATAAACCATGTCCCTGCAGTCTCACTGCTCAATTATCTGCCATTTAGGAATTACATCGCTTTGTTTATGAATCCCTAGTCCAGCTCCCTGCATGTGACTTACCCAGCCTTCCTGAACACTTCATGTAAAGTAAGCTCTAATGTTTAAACTTCCTTTATTGCACATTCTGTTTAATTTAGAATGTGTTATCTCTTGCTCTGTTAATAGCATCCAGACCCTGCAAAAACCTCCTGTGTGTGATTAAAGCTGAATTTACAGAGCAGGATATAAAAAAAACTTCTAAAGCAAGTTAAGATCTGATTGAAAATGACTTTTTCATGAAAGCTGTATGAGTCACAGCCAGGGGAGATGTGGCTAGGGCTGCATAAGAAGAAACAAAAGTGATTTAACTCAATGGCAGAGAATTGAACAGCGAGACTGCAGGGGCATGATCTATACACCCAAACAGCTCCATCAAGCTAAAGTCTGTTTGATGCCTGTAATTTCTCCTGAAGGCAGTGGTTTTGGTGTATTGATATCCCTTTAACGCAGTGGTTTTGGTGCATAAACAGCAAGTTTCATCTATCCACAAGCAACCCTTTTGTGGCTGTCAGACCTACTTAAGACCATTGAATTTCGAAAAAGGTCTTCATGTTTTAGCATCGGTGTCAAAATTCTTCGCTATAAATTAATATTCCTTTAATAACTGATTTGATGTTATGGAGATCGCTTCACTTTAAGTTATCACCAGACGTGAGTGTCTGGTCAGGCATAATTAAAGGGACACTATAGTCACCTGAACAACTTTAGCTTAATGAAGCAGTTTTGGTGTATAAACCATGCCCCTGTAGCCTCACTGCTCAATCCTCTGCCATTTAGGAGTTAAATCCCTTTGTTTATGGACCCTAGTCACACCTCCCTGCATGTGACTTGCACAGCCTTCCATAAACACTTCCTGTAAAGAGAGCCCTATTTAGGCTTTCTTTATTGCAAGTTCTGTTTAATTAAGATTTTCTTATCCCCTGCTATGTTAATAGCTTGCTAGACCCTGCAAGAGCCTCCTGTATGTGATTAAAGTTCAATTTAGAGATTGAGATACAATTATTTAAGGTAAATTACATCTGTTTGAAAGTGAAACCAGTTGTTTTTTTCATGCAGTCTCTGTCACTCATAGCCAGGGGAGGTGTGGCTAGGGCTGCATAAACAGAAACAAAGTGATTTAACTCCTAAATGATAATGAATTGAGCAGTGAAATGATCTATACACTAAAACTGCTTTATTTAGCTAAAGTAATTTAGGTGACTATAGAGTTCCTTTAACTTAATTAGGCATGAGAATTAGTGTGGTTAATTAAGGGACTTTGTTGCATTCCTTAATTTAATTTTGTCTGGTTCTTAACTTTTGTCCTCATCTCCTCTATTAAAGGGACATTGGTCATGCCCTGTATCAGATCCCTGGTATTGTCATTGATTGCTAAGCCTGCCAATCTGTAACTCTCATGATGCTCAAATGCTTACAGTTTAACAATCTTTAGCTAAACAGGAAGTACGAGAACTGGGTATTGAAGTTATAGAGTGGAAGCTGGCATGCTGTAAAACCGTTTGTGATCAATTAAAATTATTAAAAATGATAAAGCATCAAAATATTCTGCAGCGCTTCGCAATTATAGAATGGGGATATTTGACAAGTAATTGGCATAGAAAGTATTACCAGACGAGACATGAAAAGGGCGCTGCTCCAATGAGCTTACAATCTATGAGGAACAGATAAAGACACACCAGAAAAATAACAGTATTTCAGAAGAGAGGGTTGACTGATGGGTAAGATGCCTGTGTCGAAATAAACTAGAACAAGGAAACAGTCAAAGGTGAGAGAGTGAGCAGGGCTATGGAGGTGAGAGACCTGAGCATGGCAATTGTAATGAGAGAAGCAACATCCCGAAAGACTGTAAGCGTTCCAAAAGAGGTATGTTTTCAGTGACTTCTTAAAGGACTGGAGGCTAGGAGAGAGTTCGATGGCACAGGGTAAGGAAATCGATAAGAATGGGATAGCCCTTAAAAAAATCCAGCAGATGAGATCTGGCAGTGTGGGAATGAGTAGATGTCAGGAGAAGGTTGCTAGCAGAGCAAAGTGAGATAGAAGGAGTGTATTTGTAGAGGAAACGTATTGATGAGTGGAGATATTGAAGGATTTGTAGGTTAGTGTGAGCAGTGTGAATTGAATTCGAAAGGGTACAAAAGCCAATATAATGATGGCAAAGGGATGAGATATGGAAGTAGCTGCCAGTCAGGAAAATGAACCTGGTGGTGGCAGGCGTGAGAGCATTGAGGAGCACTAATTAAGACAGGCAGTGGGAGAAGGTGGCATCAGAGAAGGAGTCACTAAATGAGTGTCCAAAAAGATGGGATGAAAACCAGGAAAGTACACTGTCCCAGAGTCCAAGGTTGTGGAGGCTTTGAAGAAGAAGAAGGTGGGTAAAAGTATCAATGACAGCAGAGAGGTCGAGGAGCATTAAGAGAGAGTAACGACCTTTAGATTTAGCAGTGATTAAGTCAATAGTCACTTTGGTAAAAGCAGTTTCTGTAAAATGAAAAGAGCAGAAACAGGAACAAAGATGGTCAAGGAGAGAGTTAGTATTGAGAAAGTAAGTTAGATGGGTAAACACAAGCCGCTCAAAAATCTGATGTGTGAAGGAAAGTAGTGATATGGAGCGCTAGTTAGAAGCAGAAGTAGGATTTAAGAGATGGCTTTTTAGGATGGGATTGACTATTGCATGTTGGAAGGAAGAGTGGAAGAGGACAGTTGACAGATTTAGGGATGACACAGTATCAGTAACAGATCATAGGACTAATAGCATCATAACTTTCCAAAGGTCTTATCGGGATCATCATGCACAGCGTGATTAAAGCGTGTTCAATCCGCCCAATGCTTTTCTATGAATTAACATTCCTTTAATGACTGATTTGATGCTATCAAGGTAATTATTACCAAGCGTGAATGTCTGATCAGGCATAATTGAGTGTGATAAATTAGGCATGAGAAAAAGAGTGTGGTTAATTACATAGTTGTCTAGGTTGGATAAAAAAAACAAAAAAACAAACAGACTAAAGTCCATCAAATTCAAGCTTGAATACCATTCTTTTATGTGGTTGATCCAAAAGAATTCCAATTTTTCCACAAAAAGGGAAAAAAATCCTTTTTGATTCCATAATGGTAATCAGATTTCTCCTTGGATTAACAACTGTTTACATACATATCGATTATATCCTTGAATATTCTGTTTATGCAAAAAAACATCCAGCCTCTTTAAATAGATAATTCCACATCTTTATTGTTCTTACTGTAAAGAACCCTTTCATTTTCTGTAAGCAAAAACGCCTTTCTTTTAGTCTCAATGGGTGACCTCTTGACTGTTGTATATTCCTGCTAATGAAATTAGGTCTACACACATACGCCATGTGTAGACCTCAGTAATCACATGGGGATTCCCAGCACACACTCACTGAGTGCATGACAGAGGCAGCTACGGGGAAGGGGAGCATTTTATCTGGGGCGTTCAGGATACAAAAAGCCCACAGTTCCTGGGTACAGAGGAAAGGCATGGAATAAAAGTTCCCACAATCCCCCCTGCTGTGTGTGCAGTCACCTATACTAGTAGTACATTAACAGGTATTGCAATACTGCCCTATGTAGACTCGCTGGGTTATTTCTCTTAAATTACACACAAACACACACATTAAATACAGTCAGCACACACCACACAGAATACATTAGGTACAGCCAGCACACAACACACACACACACAATACATACAGTTAGCCCATATCACAAATACACTGCTAAATACAGCTAGGACATAATACACAACTTCAATACAGCCAGCACACACCAAGCACACCCGGATGCTATGGGAGGGCACAGGATGAGAAAATCAGAGTTTTGTGAATTACCCTGAATCTTTGCAAAATAAATCCAAATGACAAAACAGAGGCAAAAATAGCAGTGTTGTGACTATAGGAGTGTTAGAACGTTTTTCCAAATTTGCTATTTTTGACTCCATGCATCCATTCGGATTTTAATTTGTGAAAGTTCACAATTTGAAAATAGCCATCAATGTTCACGCAGGGGCCCACATCTTTTTTGTATCTTTGTAAATTACATTTTTTTTTTGTCAGGACAAGTAGGTTGTCAGGACAGACAAGTAGATTGGGCTATTGCTTTAGTCCCATGGACAAGTCAATTTTGTATATAAAAAATAAATAAAACCACACCCCTAATTTGTATAGTGCTATTATACCCACCAGCAACTTTTTTTTTTTACTAAAGAAAAAAAAAATTCAGCTTTTCTAGATTTTCCTCATAACTAATGTTTTCCATGCCCCTTACAAATTTTGTAGCCCACCTCTGCACGTTATCTAGTTCTGCAATACCATAATTAAAAACTCCAGACCCCTAAGGCACTTTAGCTTGCTGAAATGCTTTATGTATGAAGAGCGTGTCCTCTTATTTTTATTTTACAAAAAGTGCAGATTTCAATAGAAATTGTCACTTTTATAAATAAATCATGTTACACCCACCCTGAGTGTCAAGCAGACAACAGGTTCTGTTACTTCCTGGTTTAGGTAACTCAGTTGAGCTATATTCAAGAGGCAGACATTTCCCGGAGAACCTGCCTTGCCAAAACTTCTTGAGCTGCATTTGGAAGTCTGTGATTGGACCGCCACAGAAAGTCTAGCCTGGAAAAGAAGGAAAGGGCCCGCAAAGGCAGACAATAGATCTGCAGCTTTTACATGAGGTTTCTAGATGTACCTCATTTGGGGTATATCTACTAAACAGTAATTTGCTAATTATTATGTTTTTGACAATGAAGTGTCCCTTTAAGTTACTTTAACCATTTCACAATGAGCTGAAATGGTTAAGGTGCTTAGGGTAACTTAGAAAGATTCATGCACACCAACACCACTCTAGCGACAGATGTACAGTGGGCATTTAGGTTATGCGTAGGTATTCAAACATTACATTGCTCTTCGTTTAACTGCAATATTTAAACAATCGCATCATCATTACATTTACTATTGATTCTAGTAGCACAGTGCATATACGGAAACACATTTTAACCAAAATGCAAATACTTACACTGCCTCCATTTCCAAATCATCTGCATCTTCATCCTGAGGAAGCTGCAAGTAGGGGTTGTCAGATGCTGGGCGGAATTTGTAACCGGTCAATACAAAGAATACAAACGTGGCCACTTCATCCAGAAGCTGCAAAGAAAACTCCCCTTTTAGTATATTATTTTGACTATACACACCAAAAAAAAAAAAAGTCAAATTGATAGCAAATCATACATTATAACTGCCATGTGAAAGAATAATTTAAATATTTTATTATTTATATAGTGCCATCAGATTCCGTAGCGCTGTACAATGTGTGGACTAACAGACATGTAATTGTAACCAGACAACTGGACGTACAGGAACAAAGAAGTGGAGGGCCCTGCTCAATGAGCTTACATTATAGAGGGAGTGGGGTATAGTGACACAAAGGGTAAAAGTAGGGGTACGAGGTAGGTTGTTAGAAAAGTATTCACTGAAGGTTTAGTAGGTAATCTTGACAGTTGCAGGAGAGGAGTCATGAGGGGTGGGGGATAAAACAGTTTAATTGATATGCTTTCTTGAAGACGTGAGTTTTTAATGATTTTTGAATGAAGGGAGACTGGGTGAAAGTTACGGAGAAGGGAAGAGTTCCACAGAGGAGGTGCAGCCCTGGAGAAATCTTGGAGGCGAGCATTAGAGGTGGGAGTACTGACAGAGGATAATATTGATAGTCTGGCAGGCATAGTACATTCCCAAGTTGAGATCTAAAGTTTTAACCTAGTGATTCTTTAGCACGATAAGTAAATTAAAATAAACTGCCCGCCGTATGTTTCTCAGTAAGCTGACCATGACATTTACGTATGGCTCATTTATTTTACCACGGACAAAGTGGACGGAACTGCTTTGCCACAAAAGAAAAATATTGATGGTATGTGACCCCTATGTGTTATCTATATATTTACGGAGATTGAATACAAGCAACTCTTACTACAAGAAGAGATGATCAAACTGTTATTTAAAAAAAAAAAAAACAGGAATTGTAGCAAACTTACCTGGTACATCCACTTCCACTTGAATGGGACAGCAACCTTGATGAGAATTGCGATGATCCGAGTGAAATAAATGAAGCAGACAATCTGAGGATTAGAAAAGTAACATTTGCACGCGTTACTTCCACAAAGGAACTCACACTACAGATATGGATTTGTAAAAAGTCAACAACGAAGCTGGTAATTAAAACATGGATGTGTCTGCGTTACAAGGTAAAAAAATAATAATTTTAAAATGGTTTTCTGATTAGGTTTTGGAAAAATCGTTTGGCACTTGCATTCCAATTAAGGATTTTTAAAAGGTTGTACTTTAAAGAGTAATACCCTGGATATGAATGCATTGGTGACATTAAACCAACATACACAAGGAGGAGCACTTGGTATCAGAAGTCGTGTTGTTGCTGCTTTAATTGCTCGGCTAGGCTAACACCTGCAATTTGAGCCCTGATTGATTTCAAATTGGACACAGCACAAAATCTTATTACTAGAATTGAGATGGACCACAATGAGTTTACTCTGGGACAGAATGAGTCGGCCCTTTCATTTAGTTATCAAATGCACAAAACAGATAGAGCAGGAGAAGAGAAACTATCGTATGCAAAATCATGTACACAAAACTATGTGAAAACCCAACACAACACTTTGCTTGCTGTAAAGAAAGCATCACTCACAGCAGAACAGTTATAGAATATATATCTATATATCTAATAAAATGCTAGTTGTACTTCAGATGACTCATATGCAAGGCCAGAACCTAGACAACGATGAGGCGAAATGTAACAAAATATGGGGGGAGGAGAGAGAGCGAGGGGAGAGGGAGTAGAATGGGGGAAAGAGATAGGGGAGAGAGAAGGGGAAGAGAGGGGGAGATGGAGAGAGAGAGAGGGGGGAGATGAGAGAGAGGGGGGGAGGAGATGGAGAGAGAGGGAGAGATGGAGAGAGAGAGATGGAGAGAGAGGGAATTGTTTGGCCCTTCTGCTGTGTGTTGGGTGGCATCTGATTGCCCTGGCAGCCCTGCATATTCCTGCCTGACAGAGCCTGGCCATTTTAGTGAAGCACATGTCATCTGGTAGATCTGGGATTAATCTCGCTGAGAGGAATTTATGGCACCACTTAATAGATTGCTGTGTGAGCTGCAGGTTATTATGTCTGCATTTCAAGCACCCAGGGCCATCTCTGTGATAGATCACTCTAATGCAATTACTGCAGCAGCCAACTAGCCATCCTCATTTATCAGCGGGCAATAACCACTGCATCGACTCAGGGCTGCACCGTTTTAAGACCTGGGAGAAATCTGCAGTGCATTGGAGAAAGTCTTTTTTAACTTTCTCTGCCCCTCTCATTAATCAAGGGCCAGCAGGATGAAACCCTAAAAGTACCAGCACCCCCTTTTATCCCTTGTGATAGTCTAAAATGCCCATCACGAGCAGGATTGCCACTATTGTCTTTGGGCAGAGATTGCGTCTATGTGCTGATGGTCAGAACATAAAAAGGGCGTATGTAGTAAAATCTATTCAAGGGGAAATACAAACAAAAACTAGTGAATAGATAATTGGTTTCTCTCCTGCAGTACATGAATACTACATACTTTCCAGGTACTACCCAGCAAGGTAAAGAGGTAGTAGCAAAACAAAAAATTGGAACCCTAATCCAGGTATATTATGGTCCCATTGTTGTCCAGAACCTTGGGCAAGACCGCAGTCCATGTGTATAAGAACCGGCTCTGAGGAAAAGGGTTATAAGGTGAAGCAATCTCTATAGTAACAGAAATAATTATGTTTGCCCAACTTAATGGTGCTCATGGTTTGACTACAGAAGGATGAAAAGCTGAGTTGGCCAACCAGGAATTGCACCTGTGACAGTGAGGTTTGACCTAGCCTGTTTAATGTGGCTCTGAGAGACGCTCCCAAAGCCACGACACAGTTTACAATTTTAAAAAGTTGCTTGTTACTGAACTCCTCTACAGTGACTAAATGGTTGAATTAATAGAGACACAAGGTTCCAGGAAGAAGCGAGACCTCATTATCTGACTCACCATGACATAGTAATGTCTGAAGAGCTTCAGTTTGGCCAAGTTCATCGCAGCTGTAAAGACAAAATTATTCAACATGAGAGAGAGTGCAAAGTGTCAGATAGAGGAGCTTATCAAATCAATGCTTGGATTCTGTATGATACCCAAGTGTATATAGACATTAGAGAGACTTATTAAAGCAATTGGATATGGTTTGACACCGTGAAATGACACTGGACATCCTCATACTCTAGATGATGACCCCTCAGAAGAGCATTGAGGCAATGGCGGTGCATATGCAATTGGTCCCCTTTATTGGCTGATGTTTGAAGAGGTGGTGCGTGACCCAGTGCTGGAATCGGATAAGTGAATTAAAGGATTATTTAACCCTTTACAACCTGTGCTGTGTGTGTGTGTTACTAAAAAGACTAAATAGTGGATTGTTAAGAATTTAAATTTGCTTACAAAGTTTAGGCCAAAAAAGCAAATCTGAAGTCATAGCAGACTTGGAGGTTTTCTACAACTTGGCTATTTTGACATATACTCTGAATTTCCAACAATTCACACTTTAATGTATAACCCTAAGAGTGGGCATGTTAAATTCAATCCCTTTAATCCCAGTGATACATTTTACAAGCTAATGTCATTAATTACCTCCTGCATGTGATTGTGATAAGTATCAATAAAACAAGCAGCAAGAAGCCCGACAATAGCAGTTAGCGTGAGGAAGGAAGGAAAGGGCGCTCGCTTAAATGCTCTAAATAGCGTTAATCACTAAATTCAGATTAAGGATTTAACAAGCACCTGTCACTTCGTCCAAGTCAGACGTCTGCAGTTGATTTAATTTTATACAGCCATAAGCAGAAACTTCATTTTAACACAGGGGTGAGGAACAGGAACAACTCAGATTGTCTAGGACTACATCTCCCATGATTCATTGTTTTCCTTAAGACTATAAAAAACATATTGGGAGTTTTTCTACAAGACGTTTAGGAATTTCGTCAACAGCTGAAATTAGAGCTTGTCTGCATCATTGATTAGTACACAGAGAAAATGAATGTTACAGATACCTTCAAAGCATCCTGCCAGCAGGGACATTTAGACGTTTAATAAAAGCAGTATTAGCTGTACCTTATCTTTCGTAAACAGGTGCACACAACATACATTTTCTCCTCTTTTCTTTGTTTTCCTTCTTCTCTCCTTATCTCTCTACTTCCTCTTTTAATCCCCACTTCCCAACGGCTTGGCCCCCGCCACATCCCGGGAACGGGTGGAGGGCAACAATGGAGTTGTCCTGATGGCTTGATATGTATACCTTCCCCGACTTTATAGATACCTTCTTCTGTTTGTTACTATGGTCTTGAGTTCTAGGGGCATCCACGTAAATGGATCAGCATGGTGATATGAACTTGCTGGCCTTCACGGAGGCAGCCCAGTGTCAGTGGGCCAATGCACTTCGGTCTCACCCAGTTTGACTCCACCACATGTGCTACGGTTAACAGAGGAGAGTGGCACTTGTCCCAGGGTGACTCAAGATAATTGCCAGGTTATGGCATTAACTGCTTAATATGTGGGTACCTGCGTGCATACTTGCCGGGACATGCAAGTCTCAACTGATCACTGCATTACATGACCTTACTGGGTACCTGTGTGTACCCCTACACTGTTATATAACTGTCATGTTGATAAAAATTATCTGACTTATCACAAGTTATGAAAAATTTCACAATAAACAGAAATTTACACACAAAAAACAAACAAACAAAAAACAAAAAAAAAAAACAAAGGAACACTCAAGACCCCATAACAACTTCATCTCAATGAAGATGTTATTTGAGCTGGAGCTCTTGGGAAATGTCTTCCTTGCTTTATGGGGTTAAACATATGTTTGGAATAGTTTAACCAGAAACCTGTCCTTCAGGGAACCATCAGTTCCGGCTCTGCCACCTACTCCAGCACTAGTAAGGAGGATTTTGACTTGGGCGTTTGTGAAAGGCGGCCCGTTAAGAACAATGTTTAGACACATACTTATGTTTCTAAAGTATTCCTCTCAAATGGCATTCAGTGACAGGCTGAGAACATCTGCCCATTCGTTCAGCATATCACTTGTTCCCAACACAAACAAAGTTAGTCACTAAAGCAAGAATGTTTGGACAAGTCAAATTGAATTTCAGATTTAAGGCCAAAATAGACCAGCTGGAAAAATAGCTGAGTTTCCAGTTCAACTATTTTGGCCTTAAATTTGAAATTCACTCTAGTAAATAACCCTGAAAATCTTTCTATACCTACTATTTATATAATCTTTCACTGTAACATGACTACTTACTGTATCTCATCAATTCAAAACCTAGCCTGTAAAATGATAAGTATGCCCATTACAGAGATACATCTATACAGCAAGAGCACTAAATTTATAAACACGGCTCCATGTCAAACAGACCATATCCAGTGCTGTTACCTGGGAGACTGCTGATATACGTTCTAACAGACTGTCTGGTCACCTAGGACTGGTACATGTCTCCCAACCACCTCCTTCTCCTTAAAGAGCAATATCACTACTATTCACTACCTCCAGCCCTGTTTCTCTGTTTTTGTAATCCCAAGCCATCCCGGTTGCTAGTTAAATGATCAGCTTAGGCACACACACACCCCAAGGTTCCGGGTATGTTGCAATTTTTTTGTTCTCCCTGTTGAGAGCCCAGGTATAAAAAGGTGACAATAAAATCAGTTATTCTTCACCCTTCACAAAGTTTCAGTTGGTGTTTGGGTTAGACAGTGATCTAGAACGGCAAAAGGCTTTAATCACTCTGAGCTTTAAACACATAGTGGAAAGGGGACTTGGCGGTGACAACCCAGCTCATGGGTATAATGCCACATACATTATGATAGGGAGTACAAATCTACCAAAGATACCCATCTTCAAAAACGTACAATGTGGAATAAATGTAACCCTCCAAAAGCTTATAACAGGTTTCTACAGAGTACTGAACGACCATGTAAAGTGCTGTCTCCTTATGTAGGATTATTGGAAGTGGCAGAATTGAAGTTCCCAGCATAGCTTGCTTGTTGAAAGTAAATGGATAAGTTCACAGTCGAGTATTTGTCAAAACAGTCATCAAAGTGCGAGAAGAGATTTATGAAGTCAATTACACAAACATTATATTGAAAGAATGGCTAAAGAACAAAAGGATGAATATTGCTAACTTAATCCTACTTGAAGTCTGACGAACTTCCATGCTTTAATGGATGGGTATAGAATGGGGTTATCCCCAAGCAGATCCAGGGGCCTAAGCAGCTGGTGTATGTAACAGACTGTGTAAAGCAATTTATGGAGACAGCGGTTACTCCATATATGCACTTGTGTAGAGGCCTATACGGCTATCCATAGAATTGCGTGCCAACTAAGACTGACCATGTTATAGTCCTTAAAAAAAAAACAAAAAACAAAAAAAAAAACAGGATAATCGAGGGCCAGATTGGCTCAAATTTGGTATTCTTTAACAAAAAAAGAAATCCCTTAAAGGACCACTATAGTGCCAGGAAAACAAACTCTTTTTCCTGGCACTATAGGGTCTTTAGGTCCCCCCCACCCACCATGCTGAAGGGGTTAAACTCTTACCTTTCTCCAGCGCCGGGCTCCCTCAATGCTTTCCTATGCACGTCCAGCGTCTGCTCACTGTGATTTTCACAGTGAGAAGCCCGGAAGCGCCTCTAGCGGCTGTCAGTGAGACAGCCACTAGAGGCTGGATTAACCTTAGTGTAAACATAGCAGTTTCTCCTATTGTATCCCTTTCTCTTCTAGAACCAGTTTTACTTTACTTCATTTCTGATCTATTTCTCTTTAAAACGAGACAAAGTAAGAACTGTATTTTTCCTACGCTTGCCAATCTTGAGAAAGGATGGTGCTTAAGGCAAGCTCAATTAGCTTTGTTAATTGAGAAAGGAAGTGGGGCTTGCCTTATACTCCACAATTTGCCAAGTGTAGGAAAAATACACAAGAAAAATTAGTCCCTACTTTGTCTTGTTTTAAAGAGAAATAGATCAGAAATGAAGAAAATAATTTCTGAAAGTGTAATAGAAGAGGAAACAATAGGAGAAAGGCAAGTTTGAGGGGACACAGCTACTTTAACTTGTTCTCCAAAAATGAATGATTAAGTTAAATAGTTTTATATAACATTATATAGCATATAGGTATTCCTGTATTTGTTAATAAACATCAGTGTTTATTAACCGAAATGATAAAAAAACAAAAAAACAAACAAACAAAAAAAACCCTTAAAGGATCGGTCAGGAACACAAACATGTATTCCTGACCCTATAGTGTTAAAACCACCATCTAACCCCCCCTGTGCCCCTCATGCCTCCATAAATACAGCAAAATCTTACTGTATTCAAGCCTGAAGCTGCAGATCTGCATGCTGTTTGCCTAAAAAAAAAAAATACAAGCAATCTGCTGACATCATCAGAAGTGGCAACCTGATCCAATCACAGTGCTTCCCCATAGGATTGGCTGTGACTAACAAAGAGGCAGATCAGGGGCAGAGCCAGCATGAGTCAAACACAGCCCTGGCCAATCAGCATCTCCTCAGAGATGAACTGAATCAATGAATCTCTATGAGGAAAGTTCAGTGTCTGCATGCAGAGGGAGGAGATACTGAATGTTTGGATGCATTTTAGGCAGCCATGACCCAGGAAGGATCTCTAAGACCCATCTGAGGAGTGGCCAGTGATGTTATCACTAGGCTGTAATGTAAACACTGCATTTTCTCTGAAAAGAGCCTGAAGGTAATGATTCTACTCACCAGAACAAATTCAATAAGCTGTAGTTGTTCTGGTGACTATAGTGTCCCTTTAAACTGCAATAGTTTACCCTCTTACCTGGGTCCCTGCCTGGCGCCTAGCCTTCTCAGATGCTGTGTGATGTGCATCTGCAAAGCTGCAAAAGCCAGGCGCCGAGCCTGCGGGTCATTCACTGGCTAACAGCGTCAGATGATTGCTTTCAGCCAATGGATTAGCCAGCCTGACGTGTAAATGACACTGCGGGAGTGGAGTTACACCTCTGACAGCAAACAAAACTCATTATGCGCAGAGTTTCATATAAAAAAAAAAATGCACATACAGATTTCAAGCACCATAACAACTTTAGATCACTGAAGTGGTCATGGTGCTTGGAGTAACCCTTTAAGGTAAGGTTTTTAGCGACTTGCACAATAATAATGGGATTAAGGTCTATTTCTGAATGTTCTATGTTTATTTTATAACATTTTTGCTGTGAAAATGTGCATGTTCTCTCTGCAGGCACAAGTTCAATTAACTTGGATTAATGGGATTCATTTACCAAAAATACACATTTTGTATGACTATATGGCCTCATGCTACTTAACGAAGCCCTATTTCACGCGGAATAACTTTTGGACTATAATGTACTAGAAATAGAAATTTTATCTTTAGCTAGAATTTTCCTCCAGAAGCATTTTTAAAAGAGATCTGACAAATTATAAAATAATTTGATTTTAAAATCATAAATTTCATTAGACGCTGGACTCAGTAAGGACGTCCAGCGTCAAATAAGTGCGATTTACTCAGTGTAAATCGCCTCTAGTGGCTGTCAGAGAGACAGCCACTAGAGGCTGGATTAACCCTGCAGTGTAAACATAGCAGTTTCTCTGAAACTGCTATGTTTTCAGCTGCAGAGTTATCATTAGGGGGACCTGGCACACAGACCACTTCATTGAGCTGAAGTGGTCTGGGTGCCTATTGTGGTCCTTTAAATATAAAGTAAAATACTGTACAACAAAATCCAGTCCAGTCCAGGCACAGTCAGGGCACACAATGCAAAGGAGGAGAAATAGAAACATTGTTTCCTTTCTCCTATTCTCTGTATGCTTTTTCTATGTTGACCACCAGGTGCAGAGGACAGCGTTAATGACTGACAGGGAGCCAAGATGATAGCGCCCAGTTACAGGATATAGTTATAAACACACATGTGTTAACTAGAGGGGAATAAGTAAACAGAATACAAAAAAGTAACAAGAAAAGGGTTGAATGACACCTCCCAGAACAAAGCCACAGTCTCCTGATGTATTGGGAAGGATGTTTGTAAGTGACACCTAAGTGATGAACGGTTCTTGGAATGGACTTTGTATGGAAAGACCAAATCAGATACTCGTTTCACATAGTAATTTGTAAAGCAGTGACAAATACTTTATTTTTGTAGATACTACTTTAAATGTATTAGAACCCTGGGATTATCTGACTTTCTTATTAGATATCAAGAAGTTTGTTGTGTGTCAATACAGGGCAGCCTTATCAGGAAAAAGCAATGTCTCATCACTATCTCAAGCTGGGACAATTAACGTTTGAGTCAAGATCAGTCCTTTGGCACATTAATCCAGAAAGCGGTGCTGAGCAGAGGCACGGATGAAGAATTTATATAAAAGCTGGAGGCTTAATTAAATGAATCATAGAATGTTCTTTCTACCGCAATTTCCAGGCTGTCGAAAACCAGAATGAGTGGGATGCAAGTATGGGATTATGAGACAAACTCCTGCTGAAATTGTAAAAATCACAACTTCTGAATTATTTTACGGATGTTAGAGCATAACTATATTGGTGGTCCTGGCAAAAAACTATTGTCAGGCTGTATTGGAGGTGGACTCGACTACATGTTTTAAAATCAAATAATTAAGGAAGGGCCTGATCAATTTCAATGGTTTCTTGACAAGTAGGTCCAGAAGGTATTATCTTAAAAATCAGCAAAAACATGCAAAATTGAAAATTTTGATAACCAAAAAATTGAAAGCGTGTGTAACTCAAAACCCAAGAAACAAATAAAGCAAAAACATGCACAAAAAAAAATACAAATAAATAAATAAAACACACACACACACACACACACACACACACACACACACACATAAATGTAGGAAGCAATGCATAGTTTGGGACAGCTCAATAAAGCAAGAGTTTCCATTTCAGAAGTTTGGACGTAGTCAATTTTATTCAAGTACTCCTATTTAATGTGACAGCTGATCAGGAGTCCAAAAAGATGATTTCGTTATTATTAAATCAAAGACTCTGAGTTCATGTGACTATTAGCTGGGATACCCAGATTTGTATAAGCAACAACAAAGAATTGACTATCCTTTGGCTGATTATCAATAGCAATTTAAAAAAAACTTTTTAAAAACAAAACAATAAAATGCAAAATGTACCTGCTCGCTAAAATGTAGTTAATTTTTTTCTGTATAAACAGATTTGAATAGGGTTGGATAATCTTTCCAGTTTTAGGCTTGGTCTGATACAGTTGACTATATTTGTCATGCCTTTGCAGCACGTTCTGGCGACTGATCTGGGCTAATGTAAGCCTGTGAGTGTTATGTTTACGTGTGTATACATGTGGTGTTCTTGAGAAGAGATCGTCACTACTGCTAAAAAGCCAGCAGCATTTCCCCGGCCCTTATATAGACAGACCGTTAAGGAGGTATGTGTGGAAGCAGCTCAGCTACCTAAACGGAGATTATTAATTACAAACTGAGCCCAAACAGAACACGGCTGTGATGTAGAGAGGTGTGCGTAACATGTTAGAAGGAGGTGGGGGGCTAGGAAATAGTTAGTGCAGGGTAGAAGTGAAGGAGTCTGGGAAATCTAACAATTTATTTATCCCCTATCCTTCACTCTAAAAAGCAACACAAGTCATGCACGAAACTACTAATACCAGTTCCAAAGAAGAAGAGGAAAAATATAAAAAAACACAGCAAAACAGTTAAAGGTTAAGTAACAGAAGTTAAACATATTTAGGCATACAATCACGTCTACTTAAAAAATTAAGAAGAACGGGGGCTGGGCCTGACTTGCAAACGGAGCAGTTGCATGGTGGAGAAGCTCCCGCCAAACAAACAGTTTCAAAGGGAAAAACTCACCGTTTACAAGCCTGTAATGACACCGGGATACGCTACCCATGTCGGGGGCCCTCCGGTGAATCACCCGATACCAAATTTGAGTGCATCCCACAACCGTGTAACCGAGGCGGCAGATGGAGCTGGGGGTAGACGGCCGCTCTCCTCGCTCCTACGCCGGAGACACCAAACCACCAGCTACGCCACCCCCTCCCTCCTTCAGGACCGGTGGTGGTGATCCCGGTTCAACCTCTCCAGGCAGCGGGGCCAAGACGAGCGCTGATAACGGGGCCGCACAGGCAGCCCTCTGCTACACAGGCCTGCAAGATGGCTGACGCCACATGTAACCACAACCGTCAGACAGGTACCAAACCTTAACCAAGCTCGATGCCCTACTCGACGCCTTCTGGGCGAAACTGGCCAGCAGAGAGCAACAAGCCAAGGCACCAGCGCACATACCCGCCGGAGAACTCGCAAGTCCCCACTGCAGATGCACAGGCCCCCGCCTGAGGGGACCCACAAAATGGCACCGGAGAAGGATACCCCTCCCGCGCTCAAACACCGGCTTGAAGCAGAGACCCATAAAGCGACCACACACTAGCAAGCTACCCTCACAGCTCTGTACTTACCTGACACGGCGGAAAGCCCCAGAGGGATTCCACCTACCTGCGCCATCAAAGCGGACCTCCACAACGACGGGCTGGCGAACCGACCGCTGGAACCAGTGACGCTGTACCCAACAATCCCCCAGCAGGACTGCCAAACACCTCTGACACTTCTCCCTGTGCTGGGCATAGGTTAAAAGTGAACTCACAAGTTGGGACTCACAGAGGTCCATACTCAAAACCTCTGCTGCAATGGACGCTATCCATGCCGCACAGCAACTTCCTCAACAGAGATACACAGGCAACGCAGAACTTTACAAAGAAACCCACTGTTATGAACGTTTTTATTTAGTTAGCAATCTCATTATATGCGTTTCACACACTTGCAATGCCTTACTACTCACACTACTAACGCTCTCAGACAGCCTGTGACCCACTCACTTTCCGAGGCAAAGCCCACCTGCCTGGAAACCCTCATGTATAAACCTCTTTATACACACACGCAACTCCAAAGCATGTAACATGGCAATGCCTCATCATACCTCTTGCTATTATGCCACTTAACCCACTGATAACTTCACTTGCTCCACTAAAGGCACAGGGCAACAGGCATAGACACCATACCTACGCTCACACACTCACTCAGCCCCAGAAGCTCAGCTAACCTCATAGGATTAAAACATGATTAGTCTTGGAATGTTTCAGATCTTTCGTAACCTGTCTGACTCTTTACAACTATTAGCCTGGATGAAATTAAGGTTATAGCCAGTTCTACCTAACCTGACCTATACAATTTGTGCTGTTAATGCTTGCCATGCTACTGTTTATCTTTTATTATTCCAACGGCTTGTACCAGCTATCGTGGCGGTATAAGCATGTTTGTAATTCTAAGCACAACAAAAATAAAGAATTATTAAAAAAAAAAAATTAAGAATTTTTTTTTTCATATTTACATGTACAATCTGAAAAATAGATTAATTTCTAGATAAAAGTAACATTGCTGTAATGGGGAGTGAACCTCCCCAACTAGAGCAGGCATGCTTCCATAGACTGCATGTGGGGGAGGGACTTGAAGTTTGTTCCTCACAGAGACATTGAAAATTTATATGAAGACTTTCAATTCCTGTTTAGGCGTAGTTCTAGTCCAAGTAGATAATTATATCACATATGTGCAAGCATATATCTTATTTGAGTTCTGTTAAAATGAAGCAAACATTATAAATATATATTTAAAATAATAAAATAAATTAAAAATTGATGTGAAAGAGGTCCAAAGACTGAGCAACAGTGCAATTTGCCAGCCTTTATTTTTAATAGGATGCCAAGCTATACTGCAGGTCAACTACCTAAACGGAGATTATTAATTACAAACTGAGCCCAAACAGAACATGGGCCTAGAGAGAGCAAGCAAAACAAAGCTTACAGGTTTTTAATTAAAAAAATTAGCCAATGTGGGAAAATGAATCCAGCTCAGAAAGCAAAAATGGTACACGATCTGACAGACATGTGCAATAATAAAAATAAAACAATTGTTGTACAAATATGTGTTTTTTTTTAATTTATTTTGATATTGCCGATTATAAAGTAGCTCGCAGTCGCATCTTGCCACTAAAGCTGGTACCAGCTGGGTTTGACAGCAGTAATAGCCCTGTCCCTATAACCCTGCGTGGTTTATGATGGCGTCTGTTTGAGGAGAAGTCTGCAAGATAATTACTTCTGATATCGTGGCCCTGGCAATGCTGCAATGCCACATTCACTCAGAAAATACAGCAGGGCCTTCGTGATCGGAATATGTCAGAACTCATCTTGTACGGATAGATAAATTATCACCATGGCTGCAGTATACCATAATAAGATACTTAACTCCCAGTTACACTGAAGACCCAACATAGGCTTCAAACACCAAACACTAGCTTTAAAACCATAAATTTATAAAGAAAAGAAAAAATACCTATTTGGTGGAAGATCAGATCATCTTTAAGCAAAATGACTGAAAACTACTTTAAAAACACATGTAACAACATGATATTAGTTATTTAAAGGCATCGATCAATGGCCAAGTCGGAATAGGAAGATAGATACACAAGTGCTCTCTTGGAAAAAGCAATCATCATCTAAAAGCCATTATCCACACTTTGGGCCACATGTACAAAGAGCAATTCTAGGGAAAACATCTAAATGTGGCAAGATCAGCTGGAACATTCAATTGGCTTAATGGGAACCACTCAAATTATTCCAATTGGCCCCAGAATAAATCTTTATAAATACAGACAGCTGCGCACATACATCGACAGGGAAAACCGGGGGGTTTATTATTGTACAGCACAAATGACTAATTGTGACACTCCAGATTATCTAGAGAGACAAGTGTGTACACAAATATATTTCCAGCTCGTCTTTACACAATTACAGAGTACTTCATTAATAAACTGCTCATCACACCCTATATTAACAGGGTCACGCACATCAATAACAGACAGCTAGGTTTAATAGGATGTGGCAGAGAAGGTACAAAACAAGAAAACAAAGATAATGGCCAGCATGTGCACTAGGGATGAATGATTGGTGTAATAGGTCAGATTTAATGTAGCAAATTACAGATGTAGAACAAAGGTTTGACATAAACAGCCCTGCTGGGGAACAATAGATTTACAATAGAGTTAAAGGGTCATACTATTGATTTACGGATGGGAGGGAGATGCAAGACCTTTACACTAGCACGGTAAACTACTATATTATTATAATTTATAAATGCATGCTTAAAAATGATATTGGACAGCACACAGAGCTATGAAGGATCTATGTGGCAACTGTAGAAACTCATCAACCACCTTTATAAACATTTTTCTGTGGGTACAAGAGTTTTAAAATTTCCAGATTACCAGAACATGTAAAGATAGAATTACTGAACACGGAGCATGAATTATATCAAGCAATTCCAAGGTACATCGTTGTGTTTCCATGGTAACAGCTCCACTTATAAATCTCTGGCCTGTATGTGGTCTTCAATAGTCACAATGTTCGATTATTAGATGATGGAGAACAGGGATGCAAGAGAAAGGATTAGAACACCCACCACAACCAGAACTGATGGTTGTATTAAAAAAAGGGCTGGGTGGTCTCACGTTCCAAGGTTATTCACCAAAGTGTGAATTTTTGGGAATCCAACCCAAATTTCAAGTATAGGCCAAAACAGCAAAGTTGAAGACTTGGCTATTCGTGCATAAAATTTCAACTTCACTTTGAAGTCTAGATAATTCACACTAAGGAATGACCGGGACTGAACAAGAATATTTACTGTTACTCTTACTTACCTGTCCCTTAGTGTAACTCTCCACTCCCTTCCCGGTCCATTCGTGTACCTCTCCCCTTATTTCCCTGTCCCTTAGTGTACCTCTCCCATCCCTGTCTCTTAGTGTTTCTTTCACCTCACCTCCCAGTCCCTTAGTGAACCCCTCCCTTTCCTGTCCCTTTCCTATCCCTTAGTGTACCTCTCCCTTCCCCTCCCTGTCCTTTTGTGGTCCTCTCCCCTCCCCTCTCTTAGTGTTTCTCTCCCTCCCTGTCCTTTAGTGTCCACCCCCCCCTTAGTGGTCCTCTCTCCTCCCTTGTGTGCCTCATTACCTGTCTTGTAGCTTGGCCGAGTAGAGTGGACCGCGGTACAGGAGCTTCTGATTCCTGACAGGAAGTGCTCTATCAGTCCGGCCGGGATCAGGAAACTGAAGCTCCTGTACCATGGTCAGCTCTGCTCCACTCGACTGAGTAGCATGAGTGAGCGCTGTGCGATTTCTTCCTGCTGGTCACACGATTGTTGCACCCCCAGAGCCGGTGCGCCCTAAGACAGCCACGCAAGTGCTGGGCCACCACCGCCTCTCACATTATCGGCAATATCAGTATCAATAGTGGCCCGATACAGATATTTGCCAAAATCAGGAATAGCAGCCGACAACGGCTAAAGCTAATCTTAGGGACATGGTGAACAGACCCCCTCCTGTTTTCACATGAACTGCACAGCCTGAATGAGATTGTTACTATACACTATAGTGGGGAATTTGTCCAAATTGTCACTTTCTGGCTAAATTTGCAAAGTGGCTTTCAATATGCCACAATCTGGTGTTTAGTGTATACACCCTAATATTTCCCAGCAAGTATGTGGGTACCACATTCATATTAGTGGTGACAAGGAGCTGGCTCAGGGACACTGAATCCTGCTCCTTTGTTCAGCAGAGCTTTGGGTAATCACAGAAAGTCAAGTCTGCCGAGGCCTTTAATGTATTTCACAAAACCTCTAACACAAGGAGACGCCTTAGCCCCACTACTTATACAAAATTCTACAAACTCAATTAATTACATTATTTCCACCCAAAACTAAACACTACACAGGCAAGAGGTGCCTCTGTGTTTGACTTTCCCAGACATGGATTCTGCAATGCTGACGTTGTGTATAGCATCCAGAGAGAATCCAGTTAATGACTCTGTAAGCATTCTGCAAAGTTTAGTTGGGGGATCATAGGAAATATAAGCAGTTCCATTTATTTAATACTGTGCCTTTACACTTTCAGTAACTGGTTTCCTTAGATTATAAAGCACATCTGGGCTCACCTAACCACTGCCCTCTGGTGGGAAGGATTGAAAACTACTTTCCATTTAAAATGCTCGGTACATCTCATTTTTAGAACACTTCTACAGATAGCACTTTCTCTCCTGAAGTCTTCTACCAGCCACAATATCTATTTACAGAGCAAAGAGGTGATAACTGATGAGCCCCGCAGAAATATAAAGCTAAATGCTACAAAGTATTGGTTAACAGAGTTAATGCTAAATCATAGAACACCAACTCTTAGGGCTCTGAGGTTGATTGGCCATTGTGGGAAATGCAGAGTTTGCTTACTATGGACCTATAGCAAGTTTTAAATACTGATTTAACATGAGATAGATTTGAGCATTCAAGGAACAATCTTCTACAATTCAACCGGATTGAAAGAGGTCTCCGGCTGTTAAACTTTTAACACCAAAGTCTTATGTCTGATGCCCATGAACAGTGTACCCGAATGTCCGCTGCAACCCCAGTCCTCAAACAGTGAGTAAAAACGTATGTGTTTTTCTCACTATGTTTTTTTGAATAGGGATTTACTGATAGGCTGATAGTGTCAGTTGGTGATCTCAGCCTATTCGCAGTTCCCAGTATCAAGCCTCAGAACTCAACAAAGAAGTTCGAGGGCAGAGTGTTGAATGAAATTCGTTTCCTGGTGGAACTGTATTCTCCCTTGGCGATCAGCAATCATTGGAACGCTGTCCCTTCTGCCTCCTCGGGATCAATGTTGCTGAAGAAGCCGCTTGGTGAGGTCCTAAAAGGTAACTAAAGTTACCGTTACATTAAAGCTTTACAGTTAGGGGTTTCACTGCGGCACTGGGAGTTGGGGTTAGAATAATTGTTGAGTGAGGTGACCCTAAATGTCCTATCTGTACGACTAAAATTAACCCTAGACCTTATTGTAAATGTAACATTCGTGTCAATCTCTAAATAATTTTTTATAAATCTAACCCTAATTTGAACACGCACCTTAACGAAATATTAAATTCTCAGTCATTGGTAAAGTCTCTAGCTGGAAAGCTCAGTGGAACTTTATTTACCTTGCAGGATCTCGCCGAACAGCAACAGTGACCCAGAAGAGGGAGGCAGGTCTGTTGATCGAAACACAGTTCCACGGGCAAACAAAATTTCATACAACACCGACGCCGGACAGAATTTGTCTTTAAACTAGGCTTTTCTGTAGGTAATGGTTTACCCCTGAACGTAAGCCGACACCAGGGACCTCTTGGCACAATGAAACCGCAATTACAGTGAAGTTGTTATGGTACGTTGTTATGGTACGTGGAGTGTCCCTTTATAAAGTTACCTAGCCATGTATCTACCAAGTTTGTCTAGTTCGTAGACTTGTCTTTATAAACCAATAGCAAGACTCCACCTTGAATACGTGGGACATTCTTGAAAAAAAAAAGGATACTGCAGAACTAGAAAAATGCATAGGTAAGCTACAAAGTTAGTAAGCATCCAAGTCTATTTTTTTATTTTAAACAAAATATTTAAGTATATAATTGATATGTATGTAAACAGGTTGTTGATCCAAGACTAAATCTGATTGTTCTTTTGGATCAACAGCATAAAAATGGACTTTGTGGTTGAACTTGGTGGACTTTAGTCTTTCTTCAACCTAGAAAACTATGTAATTAACTATGTAACTATAGCCATCAAGAATTTGTATAGCCTATGGCTTGGGTGAAATGACCATTGTATATGGTGTTCACCATTAAAAAAAACACAACTCCAGACTCTGCATTCTATACTGCCCTACACATTAAAAATGTAGGGCAATGAAGTTCTAATTCTTAAAGGACCACTATAGTGCCAGGAAAACATACTCGTTTTCCTGGCACTATAGTGCCCTGAGGGTGCCCCCACCCTCAGGGTCCCCCTCCCGCCCGGCTATGGAAGGGGGAAAGGGGTTAAAACTAACCTTTTTCCAGCGCTGGGCGGGGAGCTCTCCTCCTCCTCTCCGTTACGCCCCGCCGGCTGAATGCGCACGCGCGGCAAGAGCTGCGCGCATTCAGCCGGTCTCATAGGAAAGCATTCATAATTCATAATGCTTTCCTATGGACGCTGGCGTGCTCTCACTGTGAAAATCACAGTGAGAAGCACGCAAGCGCCTCTACCGGCTGTCAATGAGACAGCCACTAGAGGATTAGGGGGAAGGCTTAACCCATTCATAATTATAGCAGTTTCTCTGAAACTGCTATAATTATGAAAAAATGGGTTAACCCTAGAAGGACCTGGCACCCAGACCACTTCATTAAGCTGAAGTGGTCTGGGTGCCTAGAGTGGTCCTTTAATTATGTCATCTCTAACATTATTACCTCGAGTCAACCTTCTATCCTATCGAGAATGTCTCATGACTATTGCTAATTTCTCTGCCCAGTGCTTTCATTAGAACTACAACTATTTCTATAACGTAGAGAACAAACCGATTTCCCCTCCCTGATGTACCAAAACCCTGTAGCAAAATTTCACTACTCATGTCATAACAATGTATTACAACAGCTCTATAATTGAACACACAAAACAAACTATAGCATTAAAAACACAAAATTATTATTAAAAAAACAAAACAAGCCCAAAAATGGACAACATCTTGCCCACCACCTCTGTGATGCTAAGGATATGGCATGCCCATAAACACAGGTTTACATCCTGGAGTCCGCTCTCGTTGGCCATCCCAATTAGATGCTTTAAACACTTCATCCCCACTTCTGACAGCAGAGCGTGGGAAAGCAGGGAACTGACACTCATTCACCAGGTGTAGGGAGGAAACGAACTTGAACCTTATGCCAGCCTCAGATCCACTCATGACTTGCCCCAAACATGATATTTGCTATATCTACAGCTACAATCACTATTAAAGAAATAAAACAGACACGATCTCCTGCCATGCCAAGGAAGACAGATGTCTCTATCATAGAGAAAATGTGCATAGGCAATATACCAAAAAAGAAAGTTATTTCAGTCTGCTATGACACGATAACATGGGACGCGAATCACTCTGTACCCAAATACGCAAGGGAGTGAGACCTGGGTCACGAGATGCCCGCCAACTAGTTAAGAGCCTTTTATATGCATCAGCTATATACTAGGTGCATTTTCCATGTCGAACTCATAAAAAAGATACCTAGTACCAGTGCGCTGGCCCCACATGTTTCCCTGGGCATCTGACAGATGTTGGAAATGCTCCACAGAGAAAGGTTCCATGCTGCACATCTGGTGGGGGTGCGCAATGATTAAACCCTTTTGGGAAACAATGGCAACCCTGATCTCAGAAGTAATTAAAAAACAAGCTAGGCCCTCTGTTGAACACTTTCTCCTGTTCATACTTCAAAATGATCTCACCTGCCACATATTGATAGCAGCCAACTTATTGATAGTGAGGGGATGGAAGTCCCCCACAGCTCCCAGCAGGAGAGAAGTGGTGCGGCAAGTATCTCTTAATGAGAGTTATGAAAAGATGGCTTATATGAGCTCTAACAGGTCACACATAACAATGGAAGCGTGGGAAAGATGGGAGGAATGGGTGAGGGGATAGGAAGACTTAACACGGACCCGCCGATGGCTGACCTCTCATAAGCAGTGACAGGGGCAGGTCACAGTTCTCTTGCCTCCTCCTCCGGGGTACTGGCTGCACAGAACACAACACCACCTCCTCCTCCTCCTCCATATCCTACACCAGTAAACCACTTACTCCTGTAACTCTTTTTCTTCTTCCTTTCTTACTTTCTCTAACTCTCTATACTTTTATCTAGCCCAGCCTGGAACTGGAAAATATTAAGAAAACTCCGGTAACATTAAACAACAAAAAACAAAAAGTCGTTTATGCATGGGTTTCCATGCTAGCACAGAGATACAGAGTTATGTTGAAGGTGACTTCATCGGTTTAAGGGGAAGGACGGTTCAAGGGCCTGGCAATATGTGGCCCAATATGGCACGCTTAATCTAGGTATGCCAGGTATATGTATACTGCACAAACGGCTATGCCAGTCCACTGGCGCATGTTGTATGCTTCTATAACACATTACTGAAACCGGCCACTTGTACACACTGAATTGCCCTGTATTTGTCAATGTACTTTATATTTCAGTTCACTGATCCTGTGTATACATGCTTAAAAGAATAAAAGAAGTAAAGGAAAAAAAAAAAAAATTTCATCAACTGATGCAGAATATTTAACTTACAAAAAATAAAATAAAAAGAAGGTACACCAGTATATAGTCTCAGCCTGTCATTGGAAACCTGTCTGGGGTGCACATGTGGCACTGAACGGCTTGCTATTTATAGGAAAGGTAAAGAGGAATGCCCTAGACAACCTCACTTACTTTTGAGAATAGGACCAAGCACTCCCCAAGGGAGGATGAGAGGGAATCTCCCAGGGCTTGAATAAATGGAAAGGTTCGAGCTACAGTAAGATCTGTGTAAGGAGAATTCTAAGGCAGGACATTCCATTGGAGTAACACATTCGCCACCAATTAACAGAGAGAACAAGAACTTACCTTTCCCATCTGTAGCAGATGCCTCTTGTAGATGTCTAATGGACCTAATAAAACAGAAAGAACAATGGTTCTTAGTACAGGGGAAACTCAGCAGCTGGGAAGCTGTTCGTTATTGCTGATCTAGCAAACTGTAGGATAAGCTGTATGTCTGACTGCACAGATCACTTTCCATGCTGCCCTGGCAGATCACAATTGCTTAAAATATGTATTTATGAGCAGTCCAATAATACACGCTAGACCCAGCGGCAGTAAATCCTCCGCTGCAAGCTACACACAGATGTAACCTCCTTAAAGGATTCACAAATTCTTACCATATGACTGGAAACAGGATCGCCCCGCAGCATAGCAAGTCTACAAGGAAAAGAACCTCCTTCCACAGACCATACTCAGTCGTGCCTTCTTCTGTGGATTCAATGATGATGTAAGCCACATTGGCGAGTACCTACCAAATTAAGAAATACAGTGAGGAACAAGAATGGAGTATTTATGAGGGTCGGAGACAGAATATCGAATTGAGACTTTGGGAGAGAGTTATGGGAACTCTCAGGACTCAAAAAATACACAATACTCAAAACAAAATAACAATTAGATGAGAGTTGCACTGATTGTTCTAGGATTATAAAAAGCAATTATCTGCCCTGGTGGGGACAGGGGTCAAGATATTTAAGCGATCGTTGCTCTTTTTACGAGAACTATCAAAAATCTCAGCCACTCTCACTCATGGGTTTATTTAGTACTCTGTGAATCATTTTAGAATTGAAAGAAATAACAGATTTCAAACTAGCATAGCAGAGCTGGAAACTTAGCAACGTTGGAGATTTTGTAAAGTTCTGCAAATCTGTCAAAAAACAAAAAAGGTTTTGCTTTGGCAAGCTAAGCTGGTGAATGGTTTTCTTTTGTAAGAGTGTGAGTCACTCAATATTGAGTCACTTGTACTAGAAATCAGGCGAGAAAGTGCATCATTGTGGCGGTCATGTCTATAGCTTATGTCAGTGAGAAAGAAAAATGTCATCGCTAAAAACTGGTTCAATAAGGTAAATTGGGTCATTACCAATAACTAGGGATTAAAGAGAAAATGAACAGATCATCACTAACTTCGGGAAAAAAGGATACGGATGCTCAATAATATTGAGGAACAACTGATGGATAATCACCAATAACATGAAAACTAAAGGTCCCAGGCCATTACAAGTAACTGCAAAAAAAAGGGACTGCAAGTCAGGAATCTGAAATCTGTACTGCCTCAAAAGATCTGGGAAGCATGGGTTTCCTGTGCCATATTTCTGACTATAAAAGTACTTTCAAAATGGACTACTTTCTATTTACGTTAATTGTCCAATACAAGGGGCAGATGTATACAAATACTGGGCTCTGGGTTGTGAAAGGCAAAATTTGTCTTCCTATAACTGAAGAAAATGCTGCCACCTACTGACTGATAATGAGCGGCATCATATTCTATTGTCTGTACATCAAGCGAGTGTCCTTCTAGTGATTCACTAAAGCCTATAGGATTTGCAATTATTCTTCAAATTTCAGTGCATTTAGGCAACTTTATGTTTTGCTGTCTTTACTATAGGGCCTTTTTCAGTCTTGTACAGATATCTGCTGCTATGTTCATTACTGATAACGTGTCACCCTATATTATCATACGGTACCCGTTTCCATTACTCTACCTGATTTTATTATCCTACATATGCTTGCATGGTTAAAGATCATAAACAAACAAAAATCACAAGTACAAACAGCCACCTTTGTCCAGCAAACACAAGCAGGGGTATTTTGCATTCAAATTGTAAGCTGAAACAGCAGAGAAAAAGCAACTTCTAGGTGTTTTATCTCTGGCTAGCTAACGTGATCTGTTACAACTCTCCTTGACCTGATGGCTATGATTTCCTGGACCTTTGATGACAGACAGGGACTTTCCTAAACTTGCCATGATGAAGTTTATTGAGAGCTACTGAGATCTGTCAAGTGTGTTCACATAGAGATTGTGATGTACAACTAACCCAACAGAGTTAAGACGGTTCTTTGCACACCATGATAAATCATGTACTATTGAAGTATTTGTGCAGTGGCATGCTCCCAAGATGGGGGAACGCCTACTGTTTAAACTGAGACCTGTCCTCACCTGTAGGGGAATGACAATCATGAATATTTTCTTATCCTTGTCAGACAAGATGTGTTTAACAAAGGCCCAGCCAGTCCCAATCAGTGCAATGGTGATGAAAAGAAGTGCTCCTTTTAGCCTACAAGAGAAAACTGCTTTAGCATGTAACATGTCCGACAATATACAAAGTACATTTCCTATACCCACATTCATTGCCACAGCACTGAATATTTAAATTTTCCCCCCCAAGTACCATAATCACCACGTGCCGTCATAGTGGTTATGGCCCTAGCAGGCATACAGACACCATAATCACTTTGGCAGGCTGTTGTAGTTATGGTGCTTAGAATCTATGCCATGCCAACTATGTTATATGCTTAAATAGCATGCGTATTGCAATACACGGTGATACTTTATACCGAACTAAGAATATGTATTAAAAGATAACCATTCAAAAGCTTCCACACTTCTGGTACGAAGCAATGCTGATCAATATAATGGAATTTACCATTCGTAACACAAGTCACAAGTGATATACTGATTAGAAAGAGGGGGAGTGGGGTGTCATTAATAGCATAAGATGTTTTGCAGAATGAGACATGCAGAGGAGAAGAGAAAATTGAAAAAAATTTTTAATAAAAACAGAGAGATTAATAAGCCAGAATAAAAAATCAGAGATCTGCATGTAATTAAATATCACTAGAAGAAGTGGAGTATCAGGTGGATTTTTTAAAAGGCACAATGCTGAGAGCATACCGGTATTTACAGGTGGATTATAGATGGTGAATAGCACTACACAACATTTTGGTAGTGATGAACATTCAGAAACAACATTTAGTCTTGTGTTACAGTCAAGTCCTACACTACTAGCCAAGCCTTAAAAGTTACTCGCCACTGCAAGTCTGGAGAGTCTATGGCACTCACACCCAAGGTTCATTTCTACTTGTCTGTGCTACATTTTGACTTGCCATTGGCTAGTGGACATTTTGAGCTGTCATGTATACCGCATGTGCAGATGAGCATGAATAGAAAGCTTTATGTGCATATTTTGTGGTTATCCTGCAGTGCTGCTCTTAAATATATGCTGACAGAGGCCTCGATTTAATGAGCTTTCTAAATAACTCAATAGTGTTAGAAAAGCTTCTCGAAAATCTACAAAACTTCCCATCAATGTTAACGGCAACTTCTACAGATAAATCACTTGGGAAGTTTTTTTTAACAGTGTTGAATCATTAACAAAGTTTATTAAAATCGTGTCCATAGTTTGCAGAAAACAGTGTTTTAGGACTCAGTGCTGTGTGTATAAACTGCAAGACAAATTGATATCAGTGTGGAGGGATCAGTGGGAGTTTTCATTAGATAAACATGTCATTGGTAGCTAGCAGGAAAATTAACAACTCACCCATATCATTTCAGCAACTAAACAAACTGTCACCACATCCTGGTTAATGTTTAACACTTTGTTCATCAGAATCAAGAGAGTCATTAGAACTACATGCATCCAATAATCAATAAGACACACACACACACACACCACCACCCCCTACTCCCCCTCCCACTTTAGAACTGGCAAGGCTTCTTGTGAGTTCTAACATCATGAAGTACTAACATATGAAGAGTAATATATTGGCCAACCAGGTTTTGCTATTTCTCTCAAACTTTCACTTCTCCACACACACACACACAAAAAATCATCTTTATTTCTGCTTCTTGTCTTGTACTTACAAATGGGTTATGTAATAAACCACGGCCCAGCCTTCAATCGGGTAACCCTGGGATGATATATAGTGATAGTCGATCTGAAAGAAAAACAACAACATTTTCAAATGAATTTCAGCCCGATACATGACAGGGCATTACTATTAAGCTTAAGTATAAACAGAATGTACTCCTAGATAGAAAGCAATCCAGCAAGGAGTACAAAAGAAAGGGTTACAGGGGTACTAAAAGGGCTTAACCCTTAATTTACAGAAATATAGGAAAAAAATACAAAAATGAGGGAGAAACAACCCTAAAAGAAAAGGGAGCAAAATCCCCTCAAAAACAGAACCCCCAATTAGAGCAATATTAGAACATTTGCCAACAATTGTATATCAGAGTACAAAAAAAATAATAAAATGTTATTGATAATTAGAAAAAATCCAGATACCATATGTCTAAAATACATCAGACAACTTCAAATAAAATTAAATTTAAGGTGGAGGAACATCAAGATGAAAAATGTTTCAGTATAAATAGATACAAATTTGATACTAAATGAATAAATTAGCTCACTCACAGAGTAGCAAAAGATATGCCCACTAAAGAGTGTAGCAATATATGTGAAAAGTATCCAACTAAATTTGCATATAGTGAAAACTAACTGGAATCAATTCAGGGTCCTCCAAACCAATAAAATATTAAATGTCTATAGATGGATCCCAACCTCTCCTCTTTCCTCTCTCTCCCTCTCTCTCCCCTCCTTCATAAATATATATTTTACTTCAGAGCAATCTATAACTAGCTCAATCCTGATGGCTTACTATAAATGTGTCTTAGCTAGATTAGCTTGATATGTATCAACAAAGTTGGTAAATCGAAAGGACAGAGAGAGGCAAATAAGTGAAAAATAAAGTGAGAGTCAATAGAGAGGGTTCGTGTATAACCATCACCTACTTAAATAAGAACAGTCTGCATAGTGTGGAAAGAATACCTACACCCCCCAAGCCCAACGCGCGTTTAGGCAAAAAAAAAAAAAAAATTAAAAAAAAAAAAAAAAAAAATCGCCTTTCTCAAGGGCATCAGTAAGCAAATGCAGTCCCCTCATCCCCTTCCTTATATACACGAAAAAGTAGCGCCAAAAAATCCGCCCGTAGTGAGTGGACGGGGTTTCCATTTTGCCCCGCCAATCAGGTTCGGCGGTGGGAAGTCCCACAAAGTAGCATTCCATCACAGAACGCGCATGCGTGTACTTAGTGTGACCGCCCATGCGTACAACATTATTTCAGCACAGCAAGCAACACTGTATCCAACTCACTCTAAACCAGCGCCTCCCGTAACTAAATGTGTAATTATTGTGACCGCGCATGCGTGCAGCATTATTTCAGCACAGCAAGCAACGTTGTATCACGCTTGCTCCAAACCAGCATCTCCCGTAGTTAAACACAGAATGTCACATACTGTGCAGTAAATGAACATCATAGTAATGCAAATTGGTCTGGGGAGTACTACAAAGGCAAGGGGAAATGGGAACAAGTATATAAATACATAAATTAAGTTGAAAATTCAAAAGAGGCAGGTAATATTGAGTTTAAATTTAAATGGACATATCAAAATTCCACTAAATCAAATAAATTAATCAAATAAGGGTATATAAATCCAACAAACATATCAACTCTAAGGACATGTCAGTGATTATTAGGATGGTTTTTTATTCTCCTAGTATTTCACCAAATGAATAAAAATCATATAAAGATAGACAGCAAATATATAGCCAAAGTCAATAAAGTACCCATAGAGGACATACAATTTCTCATATTTTTTATATATAGAGAACCAATATATATGAATAAAAAGAGACTGTAAAGAGGATTATAAACAGAGTCAATATTATTATTCCAGGAGGAATATAAATATTCAATCAAGTTAGTACAATTAATTAAATAAACCTAAATTTAATGAATTTAGTACAATTCATTAAATTTAGGTTTATTTAATTAATTGTACTAACTTGATTGAATATTTATATTCCACCCAGAGGGTGGGATCCATCTATAGACATTTAATATTTTATTGGTTTGGAGGACCCTGAATTGATTCCAGTTAGTTTTCACTATATGCAAATTTAGTTGGATACTTTTCACATATATTGCTACACTCTTTAGTGGGCATATCTTTTGCTACTCTGTGAGTGAGCTAATTTATTCATTTAGTATCAAATTTGTATCTATTTATACTGGAACATTTTTCATCTTGATGTTCCTCCACCTTAAATTTAATTTTATTTGAAGTTGTCTGATGTATTTTAGACATATGGTATCTGGATTTTTTCTAATTATCAATAACATTTTATTATTTTTTTTGTACTCTGATATACAATTGTTGGCAAATGTTCTAATATTGCTCTAATTGGGGGTTCTGCTCCCTTTTCTTTTAGGGTTGCTTCTCCCTCATTTTTGTATTTTTTCCTACATTACTATTAAGCATTTAATTATCATGCTCCCTGCTCACATACGGAAATCTCTCTAGAGCAATAATTTGCATTGATATACTAATAATCATGATCTCTAATCTAGTTCTATCACCATCTATCAAATAAACGTGTGAGGACTATCCAAAAGGTTTAAAACTAAGTTTCTAATAACTACAAAAATACTCTATAAAAGGATTTAAATTTTATAACATGACAGGAGGCTTCATATTTGCTTAAGTCTCTCTTTACTAGAACTCCACAGCAGCAAAAAACAGAGTAAACAACCAATCAGAAAACAGCAAGGAGACCATATAACTCCCTTCTCCACATTCTATTTACTCTTTCAGTACAGGTCAGAGTACCAGTGCCTCCTGCTAATAATAGTTGGTGGCGGTGTGATTTTTATTATATTTTTAGTGTCTTACAGATTGTATTATTTGGGGACTTATTTGTGTGTTTAGCTTTATACCCCTCTGCCTATTGCTCGGGGGGTTTGTGGGGAGTTTTGTGTCCATCTGGTTTCTATACATCTCCTCTGGGGATTTTTTCCCCCTTTCTGTCCCCTTAAATCTTCCTTCTGTGTCTATCCCGTTTTCGGCTTTACGGGTACGTGTGCCGCTCGAGGGTTTCTAGAGACCGGCCTGTTCTGCCTCCTCTGATCCCCCGAGCTCCGGGACCGCGGAGTACGTCTCCAGCGGTTCCGTCTGTGCTTTTTTTCCCCCTCTGGTCGAGGGGTGCTGCGCTAGCGATTGTACCCGCCGACCGGAGCCTCTGCACGTGGCTGCCTGCTGCGGCCGGCGCGATCCGTGTGTGTCTGCCAGGTGGAGGAGGGAGCACTAACGCTCGCCTCCCCCGCCTGTCAGATTGACGCAGGGAAGCCGTTGAAGTCATTAGAGGCTTGCTTTCCTCTCCTAGGAGCCGGGAATTAATTCAGCCGCGGCCTGTGGCCCATATATAAGCGGGCAGGCTGGGTGCAGCCCCTTTCTCCTGCACCAAGCCTGGGTTTCACCTGTCTTTAGATTAACTCTATGTATATTGGATTCTGCATGTGGTTTTTCATTGGTGGACAGTTCAGGGTGTCCCACACAGTGTACTACACCATACTTCATACACTTGCTTCCAGTGGGAGCCTGTACCCTGCATGCACTATAACTACTGTATCAGAGGCTTACATCTGGCCCAGGGGCGTTTTAGCCGCATTTGCCTTGGGCGGCAGAAAACGCCGTCCCCCAAATGCCCAGGGCAAATGTCTAGTTAGCCTCGCGGCTAACTGACCGGCCAGGTGGGTGGGCGTCGCTGGCTGATGGTCGGGCGGGCGGCTGGCGAGGGAGCTCTTCCTCTGAGCGGTCTGCTCAGCTCCCTCGCGCGCCGCACAGTGAGGCTGGGAGCCGGGTTGATGACGACATATTCCGGCTCCCAGCCTCACTCTGGCGCGCAAGGGAGCTGAGCAGTCAGCTCAGAGGAAGAGCTCCCTCGCCACCAGCCCGACCGGCAGCCACTGGACCACCAAGGGAGAAGACTCCCCAGCATTCCAAAAGGTAAGGAGGTGGGGGTAAATAAAAAAAAAAAATGTGTTAATGTGAGTGAGTGTGTCTGACTGTGTGAGTGGGAGTGTGTGTCTGACTGTGTGAGTGGGAGTGTGTGTCTGACTGTGTGAGTGGGAGTGTGTGTCTGACTGTGTGAGTGTGTGTCTGACTGTGTGAGTGTGTGTGTGTGTCAGTGAGTGTGTGTGTCAGTGAGTGAGTAGTGGCGTACACATGACCCATGGGGGCCCCGGTGCAAAAATTGATCCGTGGGCCCCCCCTCACACGCGCGGGCCGGGCCGCAACACATGGCAGTGGGCACCTGGTCGCACACTTAAAGGACCACTCTAGGCACCCAAACCACTTCAGCTTAATGAAGTGGTCTGGGTGCCAGGTCCAGCTAGGGTTAACCCATTTTTTCATAAACATAGCAGTTTCAGAGAAACTGCTATGTTTATGAATGGGTTAAGCCTTCCCCTATTTCCTCTATTTTCACAGTGAGAGCACGCCAGCGTCCATAGGAAAGCATTATGAAAGCTTTCCTATGTGACCGGCTGAATGTGCGCGCAGCTCTTGCTGCGCGTGCGCATACAGCCGACGGAGAGGAGAATCGGAGGAGGAGAGCTCTCCGCCCAGCGCTGGAAAAAGGTAAGTTTTACCCCTTTTCCAGAGCCGGGCGGGAGGGGGTCCCTGAGGGTGTGGGCACCCTCAGGGCACTATACTGCCAGGAAAACGATTATGTTTTCCTGGCACTATAATGGTCCTTTAAAGGACCACTACAGACACCCAGATCACATCAGCTCAATGAAGTTGCCTGGGTGTCAGGTCCCTCTAGTTTTAACCCTGCAGCTGAAAACATAGTTTCAGAGAAACTGCTATGTTTCACTGAGGGTTAATCCAGCCTCTAGTGGCTGTCTCACTGACAGCCGCTAGAGGAGCACACTGAACGTCCATAGGAAAGCATTGAGTAATGCTTTCCTATGGGCGGTTTGAATGCGTGCGCGGTCGCATTCGGAGCTGAGAGATCCTCAGCGCCAAGGGAGTCCGGCGCTGGAGAAGGGTAAGTGCTGAAGACACACACACACACACACTTACAGACGCATACACACTAGCTAACAGACACACATTTACTGACAGAGACACAGTCAGCGACAGACATACATACACACTCACTTACAAAACATACACTCTCATTGACAAACACACACTCACTAACAGACTCACACACACACTCACACACACTCACACACTCACACACTAACACACACACACTAACACACACACACTAACACTCACACACACTAACACTCACACACACTAACACTCACACACACTAACACTCACACACACTAACACTCACTTTTTTTTTTTATTTAATCCCCCCAGCCTCCTTACCTTTTGGAGTGCTGGGGGGATTCCCTGGGGTCCAGTGGTGCTGCTGGGCGGGTGGCTGGGCAGGCGGGCGGGTAGCCGGGCGGACGGGTAGCCGGGGGCAGGCAGGCAGGCGGGGGCAGGCAGGCAGGTGGGCGGGCGCGCAAAGGGAGCACCGCGTAGGGATGCCGGCACCGGAAGATGACGTCATCTTCCGGCTCCGGCATTAGTGCGGTGCGCGAGGGAGCTGAAGAGGAAGCACTGAGTGCTCCCTCGCGCGCCCGCCTGCCGGGTGTCAGCAGGGCCAGCCTCAGGGGGGCCCTGGGGTGGTCGGCTCCTGGGTCCCCCAGGGGAAGAGGCTGGCCCTGTGGCTACATACCGGGTCGCAGGGGCGGCCGGGCCCCCTGGTGGGCCGGGCCCGGTCGCAGTCGCGACCCCTGCAACCCTGGTATGTACGCCAGTGTGTGTGTCAGTGAGTGTGTGTCAGTGAGAGTGTGTGTGTGTAAAAAGCCAGTGAGAGTGTGTGTGTGTGTGTGTGTGTGCTTCAAAGTGAGAGTGTGTGTGTGCGTGTGTGTGTGTGTCAGTGAGAGTGTGTGTGTGTGTGTGTGTGTGTCAGTGAGAGTGTGTGTGTGTGTGTCAGTGAGAGTGTGTGTGTGTGTGTGTCAGTGAGAGTGTGTGTGTGTGTGTCAGTGAGAGTGTGTGTGTGTGTGTCAGTGAGAGTGTGTGTGTGTGTGTGTTGAAGTGAGAGTGTGTGTGTGTGTCAGTGAGAGTGTGTGTGTGTGTGTACAGTGGAGAGTGTGTGTGTGTGTCAGTGAGTGTGTGTGTGTGTGTGTCAGTGAGTGAGTGCAGTGTGTCAGTGAGAAAGTGAGTGTGTGTGTCAGTGAGAGTGTGTGTGTGTAAGCCAGTGAGTGTGTGTGTGTGTGTCAGTGAGTGAGTGTGTGTGTGTGTCAGTGAGTGTGTGTCTGTGTGTGTGTCAGTGAGTGTGTGTGCCTGCTAGTGAGTGAGTGTGCCTGCTAGTGAGTGAGTGTGCCTGCTAGTGAGTGAGTGTGCCTGCTAGTGAGTGAGTGTGTGTCTGCTAGTGAGTGTGTGTCTGCTAGTGTGTTTGCCTGACTGTGCGTCAGTGAGTGTGTGTTTGCCTGTGAGTGTGTGTCTGTTAGTGTGAGTGTGTGTCAGTGAGTGTGTCTGTTAATGTGTGTCTGTCAGTGTGTGTGTGTGTGTCTGTCAGTGTGTGTGTGTGTGTATTTAGAAGGCTTGGGGGAGGGGGGAGGGGGCTGGCGCGGGGCGCCTGAGTTTTGTCCTGCCCAGGATACACCACTGATCTGGCCCATTATCACGAGGTGCCCCAGGATCTATTATTACACAGTTAAGGAGCGCTTCCCTAACAAAGACCGTTAATGCTGATTACACCACTTATAAGTGACCTGGCCTGCTGTGTCTGTGCCCCATTGACTGGCGTGCTATGTCTGTGCCCATTAAAAATCAGCCTGCCCTGTCAGTGCCCTATTGATAAGCCGGCACTAAGCAGGCGACCGCTTCATCACCAGCACGACCAAGATACTCCCCTGAAGAGGAAGAAGAATTAATTCTTCCCCCACCCCTGTCCATCCTGGATGAATGGCGGGCGGATCAATCCCCCTCGGATGACGAGGGCGGGTGGGGTGGGTTAGACTCAGAGGAGTCTTCGTACCATCAGGAAACCGGTGAGACCGCTTCGCAACACCTGCACCCCTCCTTAGGGTAGGATGTATTCATTGACTCGACGGCGAACCCCTCTTCGACCAGCACACCATCCGGCACCCCAGGTTTCCGAGTGGTTCCTGCCCTAACATCTTGCACAGTTTGTTAATTTTTGGGTTTGCAGACCCCTGGATTGAGCGGTTTGGAAGAGATTGAGGGCAGAGTGCCCCAGACCCACCTTACCTGACAATGTCGTTATGACACCAGAGTTCGACCCGATGGTCTCCACCTATCTGACCCGCACGGGTCACGACCACAGGAAAGAGATTGAGTGCAGCCTCCGTTTGGCACAAGATAAGGTGCTTGACATGTTGGGCCAGCTGGCCCGGATCCTTACGATGGCGGACGAAGCTGTCTCACAAGGCTTACCCCTGGACCCAGCGGCCATAAGAGATTGGGTGTTGCGCTCCATTTGTCTGCTGGGCAACTCCAATGTGGCGCTATGCACGGAGCGGAGGAAGGCGGTCCTTATGCGCATGGATGCTAAATTGTCAGAGTTGAGTCCAAAGAGCTGGGACAATTGGCCAAAGGGCTACTGTTCGGGGAGCTCTTCATTAAGGAGCTCCATAGACACGTCAATCTCTATGCTACCCTGAACAACGCCCAATGTTCGATGAGGAGAGTGTTCCGCACTCACACTCCACGTGTCTTTGGCAGGGCCGGCAGGCGGCGGGGTCGTGCCTCCGGCCGTTTCTGGCCATCGAGCCACCGAGGATCCTGGACACGACTTTCCTCCCCAGCTACCATTCTGGGTTCTTCACCTCCCAGAGGTGAGAACGTGGCAGAGGCAGAATGCCTACAGGTGAGACTAGTTACACCACATGTTTTTCCCAGTCTTTTGCATGCCGGCAGGTTACGTTATTGTCTCGAAAGGTGGCGGGACATTTCTTCGGACGCATGGATACTCCAGGTGGTCTGAGGTTACGTTATAGAGTCCCCCCCTCCCCCGACTCAGAGATCATCAAGCTCTGGTGGACGCCGAGATAAAAGCCCTTTTCGACAAAGGGGCGGTTCAATTAGCACCGGACGAGGGAGGTTTCTTCAGCTCCATATTCCTAGTCAGGAAAAAGATGGGAGAGTTCAGTCCGGTTATAAACCTGAATGCCTTCATCATCTATCAACGTTTCAAGATGGAGGGCATCCACCTTCTGAGAGACTTACTGCGCCCAGGGGATTGGTTCACCCGCCTGGAGCTGAAGGATGCTTACCTATCCATTCGGGTGGAATACAAATGCCGGCGCTTCCTCCGCTTTATTTGGAAAGGAAGACTGTGTCAATTCAACTGCCTGCCCTTTGGCCTCAGTTCGGCACCATGGTGCTTCAGCGGTGGTGAAACTGGTGACGGCTCGCCTATGCTCCAGGGGCATCCGATGTCTGATATACCTGGACGATCTACTTCTATTCTGCAAGGACACTCCAGGCTGAAATCTCAGACGCTTTATACAGTCTCTTTGTTCGAATCTCTGGGTTTTGTGGTCAACTGGGAGAAGTCGGCCGACCGACGTAGGTAGTTCAATTCTTGGGATTCAAAATAGATGTGACTCAGTGCATCTTTCGCCTCCCTCAGGCCAAGATTACGGCCATTCGGAACGAAATCCAACGGATCTTACGACAGGAACAGATTCCACTCAGGGTCCTGGCACGAGTGGTGGGCTGCTTATCCGCATCGATCCAGGCCATCTACCCGGGACTCCTTCACTACAGGGTTATGCAACGCCTGAAAGCATGCTTCCGTCGCAGGAGACCCTCAAATGACCAACGGATTCCCATCACGCAGGAAGTCAAGACTGAACTTCGCTGGTGGCTGATACACGTCAGCCTGGAACGGCAAGACGATTTTCGGCCCAACCCGAACTTCATCCTGGAATCGGATGTGAGCCTATTGGGCTGGGGAGCGACCTGCGTAACCGCCTCAACTGGAGGCCCATGGCCCAACATGGAAACGAATTCCCACATCAGTTTCCTAGAAATGATTGCGGGCTCATTCGCAATATGGAGCCTGGCGGGTCATCTGTCGGATTGCTGCATCCTGCTGAGAATGGACAATATATCAGCGTGCCTGGAACAGAGTACCAATCACTTTACAGCACCTGTATCCAGCATACTGAATTTCCTCTCTCACCACTTCGATCAAGGGAAGTCATATCATTCGGTTAACGTTGCCAGATCGGCCATTTCAGCGGCTCATGTTCTCCTTCGAGGGACGCCCATCGGACAAGACCCCTTGGTTTGTAGACTCTTGAGAGGCATCAGACTGTCACGTCCGCCGGCACCTAAATATGCCTCCCTCTGGGACGTACACCGGGTTTTGGATTTCATTCAAGAGTGGCCGGATAATCAGGACCTATCTCTATGACAGTTGTCAGCCAAGTTTACACTTCTTTTGTGCCTTGTATCTTTTCGTCGGGTCTCCGACATCCAGGCTTTTGATGTTAACGCGTTCACTTTTTCTCCAGACGGGGTGACTTTTTTGTCGGTGTCGAGACGTACCAAGTCCAACTCCACTGCTATTTTCTATCCATATTTCCGAGAGGCTCCTAAGCTCTGTGTGGTTTCTACTCTGTCTTGCTATGTGACAGTAACTGCTCCGCTTCGAGGTTCCCAATCGGGGCAACTGTTAGTATCTTATGTGCGTCCACATAAACCGGTTTCTTCCATTACTTTGGATCAGATGGTTATCATCGTTAGCCGGTGTGTGGACTCCTCATTTGGCGCTCATTCGGTAAGGGGCGCAGCGGCAGGAGCCCTAGTGGCGGGGGCTTCCCTTTCTGATATACTGCGTTCAGCAGACTGGTCTCGAGAAGATACCTTTCAACAGTTTTATTTCAAACCGGCGGAACATGCATCGTTTGCTTTGCTGGGTGAGCGTTGAAACAGCAAATATGAAGCCTCCTGTCATGTTATAAAATTGTAGATTATGCTAGCTTGAGTGTACCTATAATCTTAATTTTATTAATGACAGGAGACAAATATTTCCCACCCTTTTTCTTGTAGACGTTTATTGTGTGTTGACTATCATAGTGAGGTATGTTTCTTCTCAGAAGTACCTTATTGTTCTTAGATCATCTCTCTGTTTTCTATGATCTAGGGCGGGGATCTGTAGATTTGGTGGTGTTAACATAATTTTGCACTGGGTAGCTGCATGCTTTTAGAAGTACATTTCATTGGCTAATCATATTTTCGGTTTATTTCGTTTCAGTGTAAAGGTTCCAGGATGAGATCTCATTAAAAGTTCCAATTTGGTTGAAGACTTCTGTGAGAGTCGTTATTTTCCCTTATGTCGGACTGTTATTGTTATCTTATGTTTTTATGTCTGTGTTATCGCAGCTTGAAAGAGGAAATAGAATGTGGAGAAGGGAGTTCTATGGTCTCCTTGCTGTTTTCTGATTGGTTGTTTACTCTGTTTTTTGCTGCTGTGGAGTTCTAGTAAAGAGAGACTTAAGCAAATATGAAGCCTCCTGTCATCAATAAAATTAAGATTATAGGTACACTAAAGCTAGCATAATCTACAATTGTGTTTAATCTATTTAAAAAAAAAAAAATTATATACTATTAAAGAATACTTCCAGGTTTATGTTTTTATATTTGCTGCATTACTGCCTGCCCTGAAGATCTGAAAATGAGTACCCCCCCAATCTCTGAACATTGAAAAGGATATTAAATTGATATAGATAAAAAATGACCAGTGTGCACAAATCCAGAACTCTTCCCCCTCCATAAAAATAAAGTTTTGTTTTACAGGTTTAAGTACTATATTAGTTCCTGCTCAGAAAAATATGGTGTTTGACACCTGGAGACCATTTGTACAGGAATATAAATCTAATTACGCTACCTAAGCAGCAGTACATGGACAATTTATCGAACATGATGCTATCTCGCACTAATTAATAGCACATAGCTAAGCAACGTTATTTTGATAAGCATTGAAAAGGACTCCAAAATGGCAAAAGAAAACATTAAAAAAAAGACACTTACTGCGTGAAAAACCAGTGACAAAGATTTTGTGAATGGTAGGGCGGCCATCAACCAATGGATTTTAAAAACGTCATTGCTAGAATGGATAAAAGGTTGATTAATAGGCTCAGAAAGCTTTACAATCATAACGATGGGGCAAAACAACACAATAGTTTATGGCTTACAGGGTTATTCAGTAAAGTGGGAATTCAAAGTGGATTTCAAATTTTAGGCCAAAGTAGCCAAACTGAAAGCATAGCCGACTTAGAAGATTTTACCAATTTAGCTACTTTGCGCTAAAATTTGAAATTCACGTTGGATTCATCTGGAGTTCACAACAATTCTCACTTTGGTGAATGATGGCAGACTGTGGCTCAGCAGGGTTTTCTAGACTACATGTTCCATGATACTCATGTAGTCTTGTGTCTGGCTCAGCATTATAAGAAATATATTTCAGGAACCGTTATAGTGCCAAGATTAGCCATCATAGATTTGATGCCTACACAGACATTTCTATTCTGTAGCTTAACAACTACTGCTAGGCATAAATAAATGCTTTACCAAGAACCCAGCAACTCTGACCCTATGGGGAATTAATCTATATTAGTTTCAATCATATGGAAGCAAACACTAATAAAAGGTTGGCCTAGATTATTTCATCCACAAAAATGGCGCATGCTCCTGGGTTCAGGAACTGAACTGGCAGCTACCTCTGACGTGAACATCTTTAAAAGGTACACTATAGTCATCAGAACAACTACAGCTTAATGTAATTGTTCTGGTGAGTATAATAGATCCCTTCAGACATTTTCATGTAAACACTGCCTTTTCAGAGAAAAGGCAGTGTTTACATTGCCCCTAGGGACACCTCCAAGTGGCCACTGGAGGGGCTTCCAGGCTCAGGACTGCACAGTAAGCAGCCCTGCCGTTCAGCGTCTCCACGCTCTGCATGGAGACGCTGAGTTTTCCTCATAGAGATGCACTGATTCAATGAATTTCTACGAGGAGGTCCTGATGGGCCAAACCGGCATTTGGGAAAGCATTGGATTGGCTAACTATCGGCCATTTTGATGAAGTAACAAAGGGGGCGGACCCCGCACCAGCAGACCCGTGCGGCGCTGGAAATAAGGTGTGTTTTAAACTTTTATAGGGGGGCAAGCCACGTTTGTCATTTGCAAGCAGGCGCTGTGAGCATTGGATGTGGGAATCAAGCATTATCTTGCAACTTTGTCTATGGTAGATCACATGCTCTTGCAGATGAAGCACCATGAACTAAAATAGGTTCCTGAGAAGAATATGGTGGACATCTTCAGATAGGTATATCTCCTTTCCACTGCACCCTGAATCCTAAGCAAAATATGCACAAATACAGAAAGTGTCAGATCTGCTTTAAAGGGTTACTCTAACCAATTCAGTGATTTGAAGTGGTCATGGTGCCTGCAGTCTGTCTGGGCACTGTTTCATTCATTCATTGGCTGAGAGCAATAAACGTTCTTAGCCAATGAAGGAGCGACAGGATCTGCATCTGGCTTCTGCAAAACTGTTGTCAAAGCAAGCAGGAGATGAACCCCTGTGTCTGGCGGGAGCATGGTAAGAGGGCAAACCACTTTAGAATCATCTGCTCCATTACAGGGGAAGAGTAATAGGGTACTCCAACTATTATAACCATGAGTTGTAGGGCTTATAGTGGTAGGAGAAAATCCTTAATAAATATATATATAAAAAAAAAAAAAACAGGAATAATAAAAACATAGGCTACACTGACAGTTTAGCATGATCAGAATCCTTTTTTTTAAAAAAATAAGTAGAAAATGGAACTAAACAAAAAAGGAGATAAGATTACGCCAAAATAGTATAGACAAAGTATAATATAGTAAATTGAACACCTGCGTTTCCGGAGTATGTGAACCCAGACAATCCCCGACAGAAAGAAAAAAAGTGCCATTGAGATGTAGAGCTTGGGCAGCGGGATCTCATCTGCAGAAAGGAAACTCTGGGGATTCCTGTCAACAATTTCAATCTGCAGGAGAAGGGACATAAAAGCTATTAAAATAGAAAAAAAAAAAAATAGATGACAAAACAAAAAATGTGAACAAGTTTGACAAAGGTATATTGCAGATGTACGTGACACACACACACACACACACACACACACACACACAAAAAAAAAGCTATTGTAAAAATAGATTTTGCCTATTTGTACAATATACAACAGAAAACAAGAATATATTCACTTAAGACTCCACAATGTCCTTTTTTAACTTTGCCTCCTATGTGAACCGGTGTGAGAGTATAAACCCTAAATAGCATATTCTTTTGTTTACACTGGACCCGGAGTCTGCCAGTGTAAACCTCTTCCCCCCTTGGTTAGAGGTTTACTATCAGAAAACTTTAAAGGAACACTATAGTCACCAAAACAACTTTAGCTTAAAGGAACACTATAGGGTCAGGGACACAAACATGTATTCATGCCTCCCTAAATATAGTAAAATCTTACATGTATTCAAGCCTAAAGCTGTAGCTCTGCATCCTGTTTGCCTCAGAACAGCAAGCTACCTGCTGACATCATCAGAAGTGGTGGCCTGATCCAATCACAATGCTTATCCATAGGATTGGCTGACAAGGAGGCAGATCAGGGGCAGAGCTCGCACAATTCAAACACAGCACTGGCCAATCAGCATCTCCTCATAGAGATGAATTGAATCAATGAATCTCTATGAGGAAGGTTCAATGTCTGCATGCAGAGGGAGGAAACACGAAATGTTTGGATGCATTTTAGGCAGCCATGACCCAGGAAGGATCTCTAACAGCCATCTGAGGAGTGGCCAGTGAAGTTATCACTAGGCTGTAATGTAAACACTGCTTTTTCTCTGAAAAGACTGTGCTTACAGCAAAAAGCCTGAAGGTAATGATTCTACTCACCAGAACAAATCCAATAAGCTGTAGTTGTTCTGGTGACTATAGTGTCCCTTTAATAGCAGTTTTTGTGTATAGATCATGCCTCTGCAGTCTCACTGCACAATTAAATTTCCATTCTGACATTTAGGAGTGCACTTACACAGACTGCATGAAATGGTTTCATTTTCAATCAGATGTTAACTAACTCAAATGATGTTTAATTACATACAGGTGGCTCCTGCAAGGTCTAGCACGCTATTAACAGAGCATGAGATAAGAAAATCTAAAAACAGAATTTGCAATAAACGAAGTGTAAACTTAAGATGACCATTTACAAGAAGTTTTTAGGAAGACTGTGCAAGTCATCCTAAATGCAGGGAGGTTTGACTAGAGCAGCATAGATAATGTGATTTAACTCCTAAATGGCAGAGAATTGATCAGTGAGACTGCAGGGGCATGATATATACACCAAAACGTTTCATTAAGCTATAGTTGATTTGGTAACTATAGTGTCCCTTTAAGTTCTCATGATTTATGAAGTTTCAATTCTGTTTCACATTATACCAGAATTTAACATGTTTTTGTTTGTTTCTTTTACCCATCCATAGCTCCTACTACTTGAGATTTAGATATACAAAACGCCTTTATTAAGGGAACGGGCTTGCACAATAGGCCAACTTAAAATATCAAAATGGGATGGTTTGCATATGCCCTTGTACCTAAACTTGAGTTTGTTATTTTTGTCTCAGGCATGTTGATATTGATCTTTAACTTCTGGTTAAAAATAAAAAATGTAAAAAGGGCATTGAAGAGAACGAGCCAAACAAGAGCATAGCAAATTTCAGGCCAAAACTACTGAAAAATGTCTTCCTAAGCTATTTGTTCAAGTTGGCAATACTGGCCTAAAAATTTAGATTTTCCTTGTCAGTTTTCCAGAATTACCAAATCAGTGAATAATATCGAATGATTTGCAGCATACCCCTAACCAGAGACTTACTTCCTGATTGGATGCTCATGTTTGAGCAATTTAAATCTTGGCCTTATGAATTATAAGCAGGCAAGATTTAGGACTGGGGGGGAGGAGGTGTGAAGTGTAAAATTGAACCAATTAAAATTAACCTACATCACCAAATTAGATCAAAATCTCACTTTATGATACCTTAAGTCTACACAGCTCTGTACGGTTTTAATGTTCACATAACACTGGCTATTTACATCTTTTTAAAGCTCTGTATAGCCTGGATGCCAAAGAGGATATCTAATGTGTTTAAAAAATAAAAAATAATATTGCCAAATAGGCAACTACATTATAATTTGAAAGTCAGTTGAAGGGGCATGTAATCAATTTTAACTGGTCCATTAATTACAAAAGGTATGTAAAAAACAACAAAAAAAGTGTCATAGAAGTGTGTATCCATCTTCTTCGTACATAAATGCCTTTTCAGTGTATTTTTTTTATACATATTTGTGACTTTGCTTGTTACAATCTTTGCTTGCAAAGATCACACTGGCAGGCTTATTAACTAAAATATGAATTGTTCAGAAGTCAAAAGTAAATTTTACATTTTAGGATTCAATGGCCAAACTGGAGAGAATCTCCAAATTAAATTTATTTATCAGCTTGGCTATTGCGAGAAAAAAAAAAAAAATGTGAATTTCACTTTCAAATCTCAACAATTCACAAGTTATTAAATAACCCTGCTGTGTTAGAAGGTGGTAGCACAGTCTTTATGATTATGTAGTAAAACAAGTTAATATTACCATAGATTCCCTCCTGAAAATACCAGTTTATTATTAGAGCACTTGCTAGCAACAAAAAGATGAGGTTTTATTCTCTATAAACAGCAAAAATAATAGAATACAATATTGCAGTATTTTCTAAAGCTTTTTTACTGGAATATAAAATAATTTTTAAAAACACTTATTTTGCATCTGATTTTCAGGAAATAAAACAAGGATCCACACTGGTTAGTTGTTTACTCACATCCAAGTTGAAGGAATGCTGATCTCGAATTGAGCCACTGGCCCCTCCACAACTATGGAAGTACAAGCTGTACAGCCCCTCTAGCTCATCCGTGCTCACGTTAAAGTAAAACTGCAAAAAAAACAAAAACAAAAGTGGGATAGAAACGGAGATTGTTCCATGTTGCTGGCAGTGCCAATAGGAACATCTGGAATATTAACAATACTGACCTGAAAAGAGGCTACACCATCTTTATCCACGCTCATTGGGTGATACTCATCCTGTTAAACAGAAGCAAGAGACCATTCTTAGAAACAGAATACTCGAAACGGGGCATTCGAATGTGCAGTATAGCAACAGTTAGGGGGCACAGAGGATATATAGAACACCATGGGGGAAGAAGGGTTGCATCTGTCCCTTTGTGATGAGGGTGTTCCTCACTGTTTTTGGAACTCATCCAGAGCCAGAAATACTCTAGTAACCATTACCAGATTGGAATATATTCTTACAAATATTGTACAAATTGATTTTTTTTTCTCAACATTTTTTAGTTTTAGAAAAAGTTGGACAGTCAGGCATAGAACAGTACTTGTCACAAATTACAGCAAAAACTGTATTGAAGATCTCCTTGACGAATATTTGTGCAGGATCAAGAACGTTTCGAAAGACATGCAATTTCTGTTTTGTATAAAGAAGTAAAAAAATTTTGTCTCCTAGACCTAGCTTAAAATAAAATCGAGATTTGTGGTCAGTCTGAGGTGTCTATGCAGACCGGGCAGGGAGCTGGCTATTGTATGTTCTGTTAAAATTCGAGAAAGGTCTATTCAATTACTTACTGAGCTCTCCCATGGTGGCAACCGTAGGAAAGCTTGCATTTTGTCAGCCATTCTCTTACCTGGATTTTAACTTTACTTTCATTCTTTTTTTCTTTTACGGTTTTCTGTTTGTCATCTTTCTGCTTGTCAGTTTCTGGTTTGTCATCTTTCTGCTTGTTCGTTTCTGGTTTGTCATCTTTCTGCTTGTTCGTTTCTGGTTTGTCATCTTTCTGCTTGTTCGTTTCCGGTTCGTCATCTTGTTTTTCATGTTTATCCTTATTAGCAATATCTACATGGAATAAAGAGAGGGAGATTTATATGCCTATCCCATGAAACATGAATTGCTTGTTCAAACTGACACTTGGCATGAAAGACTAGGGTTTGAAAAAAGATTTTTAATCATTAAAGGAACACTCCAAGCACCATAACCACTAGAGTCCATTGCAGTGGTTATGGTGACAAGAGTGTGCTGGCACTGTCTCAGAACAATCTTTCAAACTATTTTAGCATAGTTTGACATTTGCCACCAGTTGCCTGCACTGCATCTGGTCTACTGGAGAACTGATTTTGATGTAGGTATACATTTATTTTCTGGGCACATCAGCTGCGTACCCTCACCTAGTGAATGAGCAGAAAGAGACCTATAGAACAAAACAGATATCTGGCTTCTCCAGCTCTGAGATGACCAGATACAGCACAGGCACCCTAGCAGGACCAGGTGAGTATCAAATTGTGCTAAAACGGTTTGACAGATCACACCCGGACAGTATGCTGATGTGAGTACAACGATGAGCAGGGTAAATGTGAGTACTTGATAAAGCAGAGTAGGTGATGCTCCAACTCATATAGGTGTTCCTATATACAAAAACAAACATTCTTTAATTTAATTACAAAAAGACTTTTTTTTATAGCTTGTTCCATATTGGTCTTTGCAGAGATTATTATTATATAGACAATTTAAATAGTGTAATGTTTTGATGAATGATAATAAAAGTCACAGTATAATTTTTCAATGACATGTACACTTTTTCTTTAAAATCACAGAAACAGTGTCTTATTACCTGTATCTCTGCGTTTCCTTTCCGGTTTCGGAGGAGCCGCCGTAATCTTAGAGGGAATGTCTTTTGTTGGTGCCACTGTGCTTTTTTCCACTGGAGGTACAATTATGATCTTTGGCAGACTGGCAGCACCAGCATTCTTTACAAAAATGCTATACATGGTAAAAGTAAAAAAGATTTAATGTTCACAGCCACCCAAAATAAAAATTAATCTACAACATAATTATGGTGTGTGTAGCGGAACCCCTGCTAAACTGTGCACTGACCAGATTACCCTGTATTTTCCCTATCTTGACCCGGTGTTTCATTCGTTGTACTTGTAAAGCCACCTGCTCCCCGTTCTGGAGAGCTCCTACGAACGGGTTCAGTTTGTCTCCCGGACAGGGACCACCCCAAGATCCCATTTAGAATGTTTAGAGAGGATGTCAGTGATGTGAGGAAGCACCAGAGGATACCCGGGAGTTATTGGCGCTAGATTCCTAAGGATTCCAGGAACTACTCAAAACCAGACCAGGAGCAACCACGAAACCGTGTGGAACTCTGCACCAGATCAGAGGATAGCCACAATCCGGTGGAACGTTAAAGTATTGTAGCTTGGGCTGGGTACCTCCAGTATGGACAGATGGTGACTCAGGGGACGAGATACCCAGGGATGTAGAGATGCTACATTGGGAAAGGGAGTTTTGGGGCTTGGATTCCCTGGTGGCTGTCTGGGAAGGACACAGCAGGGGGGAAAACAGCATTAACCCTGGAATGGTTTCATTAATCAGTGTCAGCCCAGACAGACAGAGAGGCACCAGGGAGAGGATTGAATTGGTTTACATGGTACTATATGGATTACCCCCTGAAGGTGAATCCACATCTGAGGTAATATAAATGTATGTGGTGTGTGCTCAATAAAGCAGTTCTGTTCTATCCCTACATTAAAGTGAACCTGTTATGGAAAATTTTACTTACCTGAAATTGCTTTCATATGCATTGAATGGACCATATATCACAAGGATACATAATGTATATAATGTAAAATACAAAAGGTTTACTCAAGTTAAGTTTTTTTCGTGTAAAGCCCACCTCCTGGCAATCCTCTGCTTGTGCTGCTCCTGGAGTTTTTTGATTTTCCCTTCTTGGGATGCATCCCCAAGCAGAGCAATGCTCAACAGTGACGTGGGCACACTGGCTTCAGTGCAGTCATGTGATGTCACGTCACTCCCTTCCTAAACTTCCTAGCCAGGGAGTTTCCATAGAAACAACATATCATGTACTGTTGCTATGGGTGGAGACCAGAGGAACCTCCTGTGGGAGGTCTTTTTTGCTCTCACTTGTTGGGCAATGCTTCTACATGACAGTTGGGAGAAAAACAAAACTATTTTTAAATAGGTTTTTCTCCTAATCTATACATTTGCTACAAAAACTGCTAGCAGAATGTACTAATACCATCTTATGCTCCATCTAAAGAGCATAAGTGGTTTGGGGCATGACAGGTTCATTTTAAGCCTCGGCCAGTTGGTTTGGAGGAAAGAGCTATACTCTCTTCTGCGAAGACTGCATTAGGAAACAAACAATGTTTAATCTGCAGTGACTGCAATGGGATTTGCAAGTTATCGCATCCATCCGATAACAACGGAGGGAGATGAAACGTCAGAGGTACTTGGTCTGAGCACGGAAGCTCTGTTACAGAGTCTGTTCCGAAAAGTGCCTCTAACATGGAAAAGAGGCAGTCACTTATGCAAAGTTCCAGCTGGTTCCACTTGTTGCCTTTTGCGATATAGACATTTTTCAGCATGTGACATTTTTTACCCTTAACGCCTAAGGTTTAATTTCTCCGCTTCTCTGTATGCTTTCTCTATTCTGACTGTCAGGTGCAAAGAACACAGATTATAACAATGAATGCCAGGGGTCTAAGATGGAGGGACCCAGTTGCAGTATATAGAGAGGTGGATTTTTAAAATTTTTTTTCACCTATCAATACACATTTGCTAAATATATGGAATAAGTAAACATTAAAACTGAGTCTTGAATGACCGGTAACTGGCAATAGACTAAAGAACGATAATGGCACTAAAGGATCTAAAGGCTACGCACCGTTTTTTTGTGAAATCCAGTTTAAGGAGTGTAATGGAAACGCTAGATGGTATGCCTTTTAATATGCATTCACGCAATTCCTGGTCCTATAAAAATAAATAAATAAATAAATTAAAAAAAAAAAAAGGAAAAAACCAGAGAAAACAATGTTAAGAAAAATGCCTTAGGGATATTTATGCCTAAAGAAGTTATGTAGAAATTAATGAGCTAGACCACGGTTGGGCCGCCTTCCGCATGCCAAATGTTGTGGACTTCATCTCCCATAATGCTCTTGCAGTCATAATGCTGGCAAAGCATCAGTGAAGATGTAGTCCACTCCACAAATCTGGAGTGCCGAAGGTTGCCAATTGCGGAGATAGACAAATAAATAAATTATATTATAAATTATTATAATCAGAGACGGAAAAAAATAAATCTACATTTCCTTCCTAAAAAGACAAGTCTCAAATCAATAGTTGAAATTTTTTAATAAGAAGCATTGGGATCCCAATTAGCTCAAGACTTTTACAGGATTTAGAATTAGATTTATGGTAAACTGAAAGCATACACAAGTTTATTTATTAAAGCCTTATTTGTCAGGAATTAAAAGAAAAAAAAGGTAAGTAGAAAAAGTCAGTCATGTTTTTAAATTTGGCTATTTTGGCCTAAAACCTGAAATTTACTTTGATTCACTGACAATTCACACTAGTGAATAAACCCTCTAAATTCGCATTACTACCAATATTCTCCAACTCTGGTTATTTTAGTATACGTTTTTCCAATTCTCAGCAGATTTAGGTTTTGAGTAATTATGTAATGAGCTATTAAAATACTGTGGCTGTATCATGTATGTGGCTCAGCGTGATTTAAATCTATTTTATTGAGCAGTGCACAGTGTCCATTTTTTTATTTTTATATTCTTTATTTTATTCGTGCATAGGTTAGGCAAACAAGATTGCGCCGTCACAGCGGCTGGTACATGCATAACATCAAATGGATTATAACAGTTATGTGACATGGAGAACAGTGCACATTTTATATTAATGAGGAAGAACAATAGCTTATCAGCATTTTTTCTATAATGAAAGGTAGTCCAGGTAAAGGTAGACTAGAGTGTCGGCTTGGATTAGGCGGGTGCATACGATAGGTGCCTTAGAGTTAACTTCTGATGGGAGACAGTATGGTTAGATAACCAGGGCTCAGATGTATTAACAATGTATTTGTGTTGTGCTCTGTGCGCCTTGCGTGATGTGCGGTAGGGTAGCAAGTTAGGCAGTAAAATCAGCGCGTGTGTTGCTTGGTTAGCGGAGGCCATGATAACTTGCATACTGCGTAGGCTGAAACCAACTATATCCACCAGACAAAGTAATTTACGTGACTAGTATGTGGGCTAAACGAGATTATGTAGTATGACTTATACTGGTAACGCAAATGAATTATTTGCCATAAGTAGAGTCTAACATGTATTGCCTGTATCTATTATAAATCATGCTTATCAGGTGCCGGTCTTGAGGGTGATCACATAGCATATACTGAGTAGTCTAACCTACTGGTAGGATAAAAGCACTAAACTCTCTTGGCAAATAAGATACTGGGCATTGGAGTCAGTAATTAACCTACGTTCTGGCATTGCACCTAGAGCAAAACTGCGAGTGAGTCAGATACATGAAAAATATCGATATGTGCAGAATAAAAAACTGTAGAATATTGCATATTCTATGTTTCTATTGATTATATATATGGATGTGTGGATTGACATAAGTAACAGATGGTATCAATAAGTCACAAGGCTTTCTTTGTCCGAGAGCTCTGGAATGTGGATTCGGGGGTCTTGTCCTTATATGGCTAGAGTTATATGCTGACGTTAGTATTAGCACTTCTATATAATAACAGAGGGACACGAGGTCTCTCAGTCTTGGCTTGAGTCTTGGCTCTGTACAACGATGTAACTCTCCCATCAGAAGTACAGCAATTACCATCTGCTGTTAAATGTCCATTATCCTGTAACATCCTATATTATGTTTTATGTATCCGTAACTAAGAATAAACCTGAAGAAACCGTAAGTCAGATTGCGTATTACTACTTTTCAATAATATAGACATATATTATTGTGGCGAGCATTTGGCCCAAGAATATATATATACAAAAGACGTATATATATCAATCAACTGAAGACAAGAAGAAATTAAGAAAGAGTCTACATTAACATCCATTCATCTACATTTTTTACAAAAACATCAATGAAAACTGTGCTCATCTGAGGTAGAAATAGTCCTTGTCAATCAGGGGTTGGGCATGACAGCCGTGCAGGTAGAGGCAACAGGCATCCCGGTGAAGTCTAAAACTGGCGTAGGACACATGCAGCCAGTCCACCCTAGGTGCCGAACCCACGCCAGATCTATACAGTGGATGTAGCTAGCATATATAACGTTGGCATTTTAACGCTATAAAGGTGAGTCAGGTGCGTAAGGTGTTGGAGGTGTCTAGAGGACATGCCTATCTATGCATGCTGTATGAAGCGCTCTGTATCCCTGAGCTGGGGGGGGGGTGGGGGGAGGGAGAAGTAGTAGATGCCTCCCTGTGGTTTGGTCCACTAATGAGTGGTGCGGGTAGTGTCATGTCCCTGTGCTGTCATCCCTTGAGGTAATGCGACATGTGGGCCAAAGGGGTAATACTAGAAGAGAAAAAAAAAAGAAAGAAAGTAATATATAGTCGGTTGAGTAAAACAGTTGAACTACATACAGTCTCGGTCCATGGTGTTACATGGAATCATGAGGTGTGAGTCCCGGTACTTGGTCAGAGGCCTCATGTTGCGTCAGTCACTTGTGTGTTCGGTGCGGTCTTCCGAGGGACGAAAGTGGTGGCTGTTGTAGGGTTCCAAGCTTGTGTGGCCGGTTTAGCAGGGTGAGGTGTTTGTAACTGCAGGGTGGTCTGTGGGAGGCCCAGGGTCCCCAGTAGAGCAGCGGCATCCTGTAGAGTGTGGACGTGGTGCAGGGTGTCCCCGTGGAGAATCAGCAGGGTCTGCGAAGGGCGCCACCGGTACTGGATATTATGGTCCTGTAGAAGGGTGGTAAGAGGCTGCAGGGATCTCCGCCATTGCAGTGTGTTGCCAGACATATCTGCATAGAAAGATAGATCCAGGTTCTCAAATTTGTAAGTGGGAGTCCCTTGTATAGCAGCCTGGACTGCCGTTTTCTCTCTAACGGTTTGAAATTGAACCACCAGGTCCCTGGGTGCTGAGGTCGGCGCCTTCCGAGGTTTGGGTATGCGAAACACTCCTGTGAAGGCTATGTTTTTGGCCTGTCGTGGCGTGACTAGGGATGCCATTAGTCTCCGCAGGAAATGAGGGATTTCCGCCTCTGGTATGTCTTCGGGCACTCTTCGTAGCTTAAGGTTCTTGCTACGTCTCTTGTCTTCAAGGTCTGTGAAGTGCAGGTCCGTGGCGGCCTGTTGCTTTTTGAGGGCCAGGACCTCTTGTTTGAGGGCCGCGATCTTTCGGGAGTGTGTGTGTCAGACGATGCTTCCACAGCCCCCAGCCTGCCCACGAGGCCTGTGAGATCTGCCCGGAGGGAGGCCACGTCCGCCTGGATCATTGTCTTCAGGTCAGTGAGCATCTCCCGCAGGGCTGCCTCTGTCACCGGTGTCGAGTCAGCACTCCGAGGGACTGGTTGTGGGTGAGCCGGGGCCGGTATTGCAGTGTTGCTCAGACTCAGCGAGAAGTCATCCGAGGAGTCTGAGTAGTCAGAGATGTCGACCGCCATTTTGGGCCCTAGCGCTCCGCGAGCTTGACGGAGCATTTCTCCGATGTTCATTCCCGGCCTGGGTTTGTCGGGTTTCTGCTTCTTAAGCTTTCGCCCCATGTTGGTCAGGGCTATGTTTTGGGGTGAAATTCCGTTGGGGGATTTGGATTTATTGCGTTTTGGCCCAGAGCGATGTGCATACACGTCCATTCTCTTTCAGTGCTTAGCTCCGCCCCCAATGTCCATGTTTTAACATGTTTTTTTTTTAGAGGTTACTCTTCACAAAGTTTAAAGCACTCAAGTTACCTTCGAATGACAAGATAAAAAAAACAAACCCTTTAAAGAAGTTGCTTTTTTAAAGGTAACTCAGTCACAAATATACGGATGACAAGGAGTCCATTAAGTGAAGAATGGAGTTGAACCTATACATGATGCGGACAATATCGAGAGCAACTAAATTCATAAAAACACATTTATCTGAAATTTGCTTCCATGTCTATGCAGCAATATGTGCGTGCATGCGCAATGTATGCGGCTTCATTTCAGAATGCTCAGATTACCAAGTGGCAACCGAGCTTAATGTATTCTTAATTGTGGTACACGCACCGCAGAAGCAGGAAGAGGTACAAACATTTTTTCCCATTTATTGTTTTTTGTTGTTGTTTTTTTTAAAGTGTCTTTTGATGTTACAGCCCAATTCATGCCTAAAATTCACTCCATATGGGTTTATTTACTGAAAACAGAATTGTTGTAAACTATTAACCGAATTGCAAACGACAGGCCAAAATAGCCAAGGTAACAGAAGTCTTATTGGAGAATCTTTGAAAACAAGCCCTGTCTGTAAGCTGATAACTAGCCATTAGAGCTCTTTATACAAAGTGCTTAGCTAAATAGCCTGTGAGCTTACAATCTAAAAGATACAGTGGGGATTTGAGACAAGAGGTAACAGGGGAAATTTGTACGTGATGGCTAAAAGAGTTAAAAGAGAGAATCAACTATTGGTAAAATATAAAGGGTGTGAAGAGGTAATTGAGTGAGAATCCCAAACAGCTGAAGGAGCATGCTATATATTTAGGGGGAACCTGGGTGTGCGGGAGGTGGTGAGAAAAAAAAAAAAAGGCTTATACAGGCTAGCATCTAAGACAACATAGCCATTTACAATACACATAGATGTACGGCCAGCACAATGAAAAATTAATCCCTGTTTCCAGTCCACTGAATCGTAGTTGAGTTGGCAGGACAGGTAGACTATCTGTTGTTGATGGCACTCAAAGCTTGAAAAGAAAATACTGTGGGATCTCTTAGTCAGAGGGTTTGTCTTTACAAGTTTAGCACAGCCCTGAGTATGGATGTGGGCTGGGTATCTATGTTTCCAGACCTCCTGGGGTTTAAGGAAAGCCTACGGTAATGCAAGTAAAAGACAAAGCCAGTGTGGGTTATCCCAGACCCAGCAATCACACCCTACTTACATGCCCTGCGACCCAGCACATGTCCCTGCTGGCCGAATCTGCGGGAGTTAAGATGGTGGGCACAACGCCTGAGGGAATCCACTCTCACAAGGCTGGATGCAATCTTTATAGACTTTTGGCGCAAGTTTGAGGAGAGAATAACGAGCGCCAACAAGCAATGCTACTCACCCCCTGTGGCTGACTGCTCCGCTCCTGAGGTACAGCGACAGAAAAAGCCCATACCTAATAGTCCGGAGGCCCACGGGAGGGTAACCTCCACTCAGCAACCACACAGGTTGCCTCACGCTCCTCGGCGAACGCACAAGCCCTGGCTCCTACTGGGAAGTGGCGGAAGGTCCTGAGGCAACAACTCCACGTCATAACAGCCGAAGGGGGAGATCTAAGGCAACAGCTGCAGCAACACCAACTCACCCAAAGAGACATGCCAGGCTACAGGCAGCTAGGTAAACCAACACAAAGATACTAAAAGCGAGGAGGTCTGCTGGACGCCACCGTCCACAACTCACACTTGGAGGGATCCTTATTTAAAACGTCAGGGATTTCTGTCATTCCCTGTCATATAAATAAAAAAAAAAAAAAAAAAATAAAAAAAGAAAAGAAAAACACACTGTAACTACTTTAGCATGCTGTAGTCCCTATTGTGCCAGCCTGTGGTAGGCTGCCATCGTTCATTAACAGTTTGACACTTACATGGCTCTGTAGGAGGCCCATGGCAGTGAAATGCTAAAGCGGACGTTCACACTTCTGCATTAGCATACACACTCTGGACATTATTAATTGCTTGAGGAATGTCAGCTGGCAAACTCAATGAATGTCCTCCTCCAAAAAAAAAAAAAAAGATTCTGCTAATGCAATCTGGAAGTGTAATGGCAGTTTATCTAGCATACCAACAAAATATAAAAGTTATTTTATATTACAAACTTTTCCTGTGAATACAAAATTAGTTGATGCCTCCCTACAGGACTCTGTTGTGCTAGACATTTCTCCTGGAACAAAAAAAAAAAAAAAAAATTCATCATCACATAATTAGTTATGTCCCCAATCTTACCAGGTATGTAGAAAAGCCATCGTTCTTGGTTCGGTCCAGACTGAATCCAAACTAAGGGTATAAACAAAAAGGATGATAAAAGTGAGATCATAAAATCAGACCCCTAGGACTCCCCCTATCATTGATTCAATCCAATGCTCCTCATAGGGGAGAATCAACGGCCTGAATCACATGTGTGGCAAGTGCCACTCACGCATCAGAGTATTTCTATGCTTTCCTATGGGCTATTCCATGTTCAAATTTTACTTTATCAGTGCTGTGGAAGTGCCTCTAGTGGTGGTTTTAATGCTGCAATGCTAACATTGCAGTTTCTAAAAAACTGCAGTGTTTTACATTAAAGGGTTAAAAGGACAAGGACACAGCACCCAGACCCACTTCACTGTGACGAAGTGGTATGGTTGACTTTAGTGGTCCTTTAAAAGACAAGTTCATAGTTTGCAAGGGCCAATGATACTAGAATATAAATTGCTTTTATTCCAAATAGCACACTGAGGCAAGTTCAATTTGTATGTAAAAATTAAGATTTTGAATATTGAAGCCTTTTTAGCAACAGGATGACAGGCATTTTAGACCCAATAAGCAACGGTAGTTGCATGGACAAGACAGTTTTAAAATGACAAACAAAATAAAATGTTACAAATGAAAGGCTGGAGCAAAAAGCAAGGAAAATAAACATATGAACTTTAAAACAAACATAAAATGAACAAATTACTGGCAGCCATTTACCACCCTATTGTGACAGCAGAAGATATACCAGTGGCGACTAACCCGCGCCCTAATGATCAAACAGGGTGAGACCAAGCATCTGATCCACAACCTCTCGGTAGCAGCAGCCTTACGGCCCACACTCAACTTTCCTCCAAATGCCCTGACAACTCCCGGGGACGGGACGCCAGCCAGGACGCAGCACCAGAGGAATCCAGACATTGCAATCCCTTTCACCCCTCGCAGGATAACTACAGGAGAATATGCAGCGGCCACTATCTGATGAGGACATTGGGACTAACAACCATCACCTAATGCAGCCTTACAACGCTCTTTAGAACTGTAGGGTTAACGTAAAGTTTGATGTTTTATAGAGTTTAGCTAACTTAGTATTTTTGTATTATTCAGCACACCACAAGAGTGAGATCCCACATTCAGATCGACTGACAGATCGAGCCGACTTTAACCCCCACCGTTTGTTACCACTCGACAATACAAATAAAGAATTTAAAAAAAGAATTAAATTAAAATTTCCAAACATCCTTCCTTCAAGAACATGCTTTTGTTGGTGAGCTGTTGCTTTGTAACTGAATTTCAACTAGTCTTGAGATCCAATGAATAAATTTTTCTCAGAGAGATAAAGATATATAATATAAAGATATATTCAGTTGGCATTCTGAGATAAATTAACTAATATTTGGTCCATCAATCAGTGCTGCCATGAATGGAACTATTGTAATACCCTGAGTCTCGCTTACCTCTTGTCCACGCTCGGATTTAATTGGCATTACTTGTGAACACTTCCTCAAGCAGGACAATGATGTTGTGAAGATGGCGTCATTGCCAGCATACTGGCATCTGAACAGTGTGACATCTTAATTTTCCTATAACCAGTCCAACAAATGCTTGTGTTCCAGTTGCTAGAGAACCGCCTCTAGGATGGTTCTCCTACTGTTGTGTCAATTAAAGCAACACTATAGTCACCAGAACAACTACAGCTTAATGAAGTTGTTCTGGTCAATGTAGTCAGTCCCTGCAGGTTTTTTGCAATAAACACTGCCTTTTCAGAGAAAAGGCAGTGTTCAAAGATTACAGCCTAGGGACACCTCCAGTAGCCATTCCGAAGATGGCTGCAAGGGGTTCTTCCTGGGCTAGTGCTGCAGAGTGTGACTGACATTCAGTGTCTCCATCCTCTGCATGGAGACACTGAACTTTCCTCATAGAGATGCATTGATTCAGTGCATCTCTACACTACCCTTACCTCTGCCTTGACCACTGCAGCTCGCTCAAAACATGCACCTCGAGGAGGATACACCCTCAACCGCGGCGTACTAAATTAACACGCTACCTGCAAAGATGCTCCTGTTGAACTGAACGCTCCTAGAGGAAGTCTCGCACTCAGTCAGACTTTCTCTATTATAGATTTAGTGTGTTCATACAGTGCAGCCCTTGCCCTCACCAAACAGTCATACTTTTCCTCTCTCATTATCTCATGCTCTCGCAATCCCAGGTGTCTCTTTAATACCTTTAACTCTCTTCTTCGCCATGCTGTTGCCATCCCTCAAACTAACCTTACAGCAGATAGCTTTGCATGCTACTTTACCGACAAGATTAAACAGCTAAGGAAAAAATTCTCCCCACCCTACCTCTCTCTCAACCACACGTAGTTCATGCCTTTCCTACCCTTCAGATATTCTCCCTGGCTGTGCTTCCCCTTTCCACTTGCCATGCTTGATCCTGTCCCATCTCACCTTATCAGATTTCTCTCCCCTTGTCTTGTGCCTTCCTTAACACACATTTTCAACTACTGTCTCTCCTCTGGCGTTGTCCCTGCTGACAGACACAGTAATGTCCATCCTGGAAAACCCCCAAAAAAAAAAAATCTCTTGACCCATCCTCCCCCTCTCACTATTGTCCCATATCCCTGCTCCATTTTTCCTCAAAGCTTCTGGAAAGACTTGTCTTTACCCATATGTTTCACTTCCTCAATTCCAACTCTCTTCAATCTGTCCTCTGCCCCTCCACTCTACTGAGACTGCTCAAAGTTACGAAAAACCGAATCGCAGCTAAATCTAAATTATTCTTCTAGCCTCACATCCAGTATGTTACCAAATCTTGTAGATTCCATCTTAAAAACATACCCACATCTGCCCATTTCTTACGCAAGATGCTACTAAGGAGCTTGTCCATGCTTTACTAATCTCTTGCATGGATTATTGTAACCCTCTCCTTATTGGTCTTCCCAAAAGCAGCATTGCCCCGCTACAGTCTAATGAATGCTGCCGCCAGACTGATTTTCCTCTCACACCTCTGTCAGTGTTTACATTGGCTTCCTGTTTCCTACACAATTCTAGCACATCCTATTTCTAGCCCATCCATAGGTATGCCCCTTCTCCTCTCCGCTGCACGAACCCGTATGGCCAACTCACGCTTGCAGGACTTCTTGCGGGCGGCTCCCTTCCTTGAAATAGCCTGCCTACCGCCAGACTCTCAACTAGTCTTCAATCATTTAAGAAGTGCCTTAAAACCCATCTCTTTAGAAATGCTTATGGCTTGCTAGAAAAACTATTCACTGGGAACTTATGTTATTTTTGACATTTGCAGGAGAGGAGTCATGGGGAAGGGGAGAATGAAAATCCACTAACAGTTTAAATTATATGCTTTCCTGAAGAAGTGTGTTTTCAAAGATTTTTTGAAGAATGAGTGGAGACTGGGTGAAAGTCTAACGGAGAAGGGAAGGGAGTTCCACAGAAAAGGTGCAGCCCTGGAGAAATCTTGGAGGCGAGCATCAGATGTGGGAGTACGGACAGAGGATAGACGAAGGTCTTCGGCAGAGTGCAGGGGCCTTGACAGGACATACTTGTGTATTAGGGAGGATAGGTAGGTTGGGGCATGCTCTCCCCTGGGCTTGCAATAATAAAGGAGAGTAGATGGTGCTCGCAGCTTCTCTCTCTGTTACCCCCCCCACCCACAATCCAGGAATTATATCTACTGGTACACTGAGACTACGAATACCAACAGACTGTTACCAATGCTGAGGAACCAGAATAATTTTATGTATGCATGAATGCCATAGGATGTACTTTGCCACCACTTGACTGTATTGATATATTCTTTATTCTGTAATCCCTTATCTTGACAAACAAAAATTAAAAAAAAAAACTACATAAATAAAGAATTAAACAATAATACACAACTACATACACTTGTGCCCAACATTGCAAGTACGCTTTAAAAGGACCTGTCACATCTTTAGAACTGACACCATTGAATCAAACACTGAAATCACCTAAAATCTTTTATGCGATTCTCCACGTTCCTTCCAATTTATACTAAAAATATTTAGCAAATTACCCAATAATTCCGTTCAGACATGGTAAAGCCATGCAGACATGGCAAAGCCATGCAAACAAGAAGAGGAAATAGAAACATGTTTTTTCCATGTTGATTGCCAGAATCAAAGGACAAAGCTCATAATAATCGACACGGAACTAAATTGGAGGCACCAATTGATTCAAGATCAACGTGTGAATTTCTATATTTAAATCTTATTTTACACATATCACAAATACATACTTGTTAAAGGTTTACTCCACGCATCATAACCACTAATGGTTATGATGCAAGGAATTCCCATGGCACCATTCCCTGGGCAATGGGGCAAACTGTTTTGCTTTGGTTCCATGCTGGCTGAATGACATTCAGCTTCTGTAGAGTTGCAAAACCATAATGCTGATCCCACTGTCATTCATTGGGTGGGAGTGTCAGCTGATCGCTCTCAGCCAATGAATGACATTCTGCGCATGGAAATATGCACAGAATTGACAACAACTAACCAGGAACCCTTATTTCAGCCTGGCTTATGATGCCACTGGAGGCGGAGTTACACCTCCCTCAGCAAAAATGTTAAACTCAGTATGTGCTGCATTTCATACCAAACACTGCACATACAGACTCCAATCTTCATGACCATTTAAAATCAACAAAGCAGTAATGGTGCTTTGAGTAACCCTGTAAATATAAAGATAATTATATATAATATGACAATTAATCGGAAGTGACGGTTCCCTTTTTGAGAAAGTTATGAAGAAGTTTTAGTTTATCCCACTGTGTCAAGCTCTATGTCATTGGTGGTCACCAAGCGGTTGACGAGGGGTTTGAGAAATATTTCCCCAAGAGGTATGTTGAAATCCTGGTCAATTACCGTGCTGTTGTCCAGTTTGGAAAAACCATCAGTAGAGAGACTGTTAACCTTTACACTCATCGAACCGTTTTCAAAAAAGCCAAAAGTGTTGAGGTGAACCTTCTGCCGCATGTCAGCCTAGGAAAAGAAATGGTTATTACATACCAGGATATCACATGCAAATATTTACTCTGATTGTTTATTAAGAGTCAACAAATCAGACGGAGCTGTTCAACATAATCGGCATACAATCAACTTGACATACAGAGAACATGCCATTAAATGAAGGGTGGTGAAGGTGGAAAGTGTGTAAACCAAAAGCAGTTAATGCACAAATTACATTTATTGGATTAACTATAAATGGCTCCTCATTGTTGATTCTTAGAGTCTGCTAGAAGAAACCGATAAGCCTTTTCTAATGAGAATGTCTTAATTGAGTGAGACCGTGTATTTCAGCAGAACAAAAGAAGCCTAGAAAGAAGTATAAAGAAGTTCTCAGACACAAATAAATTAAAGATAAGATAATGCCTGTGAATGTATATATTTGGAGATATGATGTAAATCTAAAAGCTGATTTTTATTACAAAGTAACAGACAATTACGTTATTGGGACTCTTCATTTAGTTGAAATTAATAGTCACAATGTGTTGGTGGCTGCGCTTCAAACAAGCGAATAGGTTTAAAAAAAACAAAAACAAAAAAAAACACAAAAAGATCACTAAATTTATGATTTGCCATGCATGACAACACTGAGAATATCAGGTTGAACATTACCCAGAAGTGGGGATTATACCACTCGATGCGTTTTTGTTTGAGCCAAAAGAAGGCTCTTTTTAATGGGAGTGCATTACCGCATATTAGTAAACATCCCTAGATTTTTCCTACAGACTATATACTGCTCCTATTTTTTTTGTTTTTATACTCTGCTGAAGATAGAGTATTAAAACATAAGGAGAAGTAGGGTTATGCCAGACCTGCTAAGAAAAACACCTGATTATCCCAGGGTGCACATTTATTAGAAGCTGGTTAAAAAGCTCCTATAAAAGTGATTTTCCACGTTCATTTTACCCAAATTCCCAGTTATATTCCACCAATCGGATCTCCCTCTCTCTTTTTTTATTTTAACATATTCACCTGTTTAAAGTGCAACCACCAACGCATTATGAGAATTTATCATTAGTACTGCCAAGAAGAGGAATCCTTAGAAGTTTGTTGCTGCTGTTGAATACCAGGATAAATTTAGCGCTTAATTCTTTCAGTGTTTGCTATATTGTTGAAATTAATATTGCTTTAACATTTTTAGGTAAACTATCTATGCAAAAGACAAACTACAAATATGACAAATGCAGTGGGTGTGCATTCATCACAGAGCTTACAATGCAGAGAGGTAGAGCCTTCAAAGTCAAATTTGCACCCTAATCACCCCTTGTGTGACTTCCTCCCCAGTCTCTCTTCCATCTGGTTGCCAACATTACTCTCTAGCCTGATTATAAAGGCTCATCTTACTCACAGCTGACTATCATTCTGATGCACACTGACATGTTGCTGTCACAACACTCTCTACAAAGTGTCAGACTTACAGAACCTACCGTTATTCTTTTAATGCTGTACAAAATGTAGTCATGTCTCTCCAATTAGGGAGCTGCTGTACCTTATACACAGAGTGGCCACACTCCCCTAGCTGTCACTATCTGGTTCCTGTACACAGAGTGGTCTCATGCTCCCCTCTTGCTGTCACTCTATGTCGCCTGTACACAGGTTGGTCACACTCCCATAGTTTTCTCCTTGCTGTCACTCTCTGGTCCCTGTACACAGAGTGGTCACACTCCCCTTGCTGTTACTTTATGGTGCCTGTACACATGGTGATCATGCTACCGTAGCTCTCTCCTTGCAGTCACTGTCTGGTCCCTGTACACAGAGTGGTCAAACTCCCCTAGGTGTCACTGTCTGGTCCCTGTACACAGAGTGGTCACACTCCCCTAGGTGTCACTGTCTGGTCCCTGTACACAGAGTGGTCACACTCCCATAGCTGCTACTGTCTGGTCCCTGTACACAGAGTGGTCACACTCTCATAGCGGTCACTGTCTGCTCCCTGTACACAGAGTGGTCAAAATGTCACTATATGGTCCCTGCACTCAGAATGGTCCCACACTCCCATAGCTGTCACTGTATGGTCCCTATGCACAGGGTGGTCACACTCCAATAGTTCTCTCCTAGCTGTCACTCTCTAGTCCCTGTACACAGAGTGTTCACACTCCCATAGCTCTCTCTGATCCCTGTACAGAGTGGTCACACTCCCATAGCTCTCTCCTAGCTGTCTCTCTCTGATCCCTGTACAGAGTGGTTATACTCACCTAGCTGACACTCTCTGGTCCCTGTACACAGAGTGGTCACACTCCTCTTGCTGACACTCTCTGGTCCCTGTACACAGGCTGGTCACACACCCATAGTTTTCTCCTTGCAGTCACTGTCTGGTCCCTGTACACAGAGTGGTCAAACTCCCCTAGCTGTCACTGTCTGGTCCCTGTACACAGAGTGGTCACACTCTCATAGCTGTTACTGTCTGCTCCCTGTACACAGAGTGGTCAAAATGTCACTATATGGTCCCTGCACTCAGAATGGTCCCACACTCCCATAGCTGTCACTGTATGGTCCCTATGCACAGGGTGGTCACACTCCCATAGTTCTCTCCTAGCTGTCACTCTCTAGTCCCTGTACACAGAGTGTTCACACTCCCATAGCTCTCTCTGATCCCTGTACAGAGTGGTCACACTCTCATAGCTGTCACTGTCTGGTCCCTGTACACAGAGTGGTCACACTCCCATAGCTGTCACTGTCTGGTCCCTGTACACAGAGTGGTCACACTCTCCCATAGCTGTCACTGTATGGTCCCTGTATACAGGGTGGTCACACTCCCATAGCTCTCTCCTAGCTGTCACTCTCTAGTCCCTATACACAGAGTGGTCAAACTCCCATAGCTGTTACTGTCTGGTCCCTGTACAGAGTGGTCACACTCTCCTAGCTGTCTCTCTCTGGTCCCTGTACACAGAGTGGTCACACTCCCATAGCGGTTACTGTCTGGTCCCTGTACAGAGTGGTCACACTCTCCTAGCGGGTCCCTGTACACAGAGTGGTCACACTCCCATAGCGGTTACTGTCTGGTCCCTGTACAGAGTGGTCACACTCTCCTAGACACAGAGTGGTCACACTCCCATAGCGGTTACTGTCTGGTCCCTGTACAGAGTGGTCACACTCTCCTAGCTGTCTCTCTCTGGTCCCTGTACACAGAGTGGTCACACTCTCCTAGCTGTCTCTCTCTGGTCCCTGTACAAAGAGTGGTCACACTCTCCTAGCTGTCTCTCTCTGGTCCCTGTACAGAGTGGTCACACTCTCCTAGCTGTTACTGTCTGGTCCCAGTACACAGAGTGGTCACACTCCCCTAGCTGTTACTGTCTGGTCCCAGTACACAGAGTGGTCACACTCCCCTAGCTGTTACTGTCTGGTCCCTGTACACAGAGTGGTCACACTCCCATAGCTGTTACTGTCTGGTCCCTGTACAGAGTGGTCACACTCTCCTAGCTGTCTCTCTCTGGTCCCTGTACACAGAGTGGTCACACTCCCCTAGCTGTCTCTCTCTGGTCCCTGTACACAGAGCGGTCACACTCTCCTAGCTGTCTCTCTCTCTGGTCCCTGTACAGAGTGGTCACACTCTCCTAGCTGTCTCTCTCTCTCTGGTCCCTGTACAGAGAGGGGTCACACTCTCCTAGCTGTCTCTCTCTCTGGTCCCTGTACAGAGTGGGGTCACACTCTCCTAGCTGTCTCTCTCTGGTCCCTGTACAGAGAGGGGTCACACTCTCCTAGCTGTCTCTCTCTCTGGTCCCTGTACAGAGTGGGGTCACACTCTCCTAGCTGTCTCTCTCTGGTCCCTGTACAGAGAGGGGTCACACTCCCCTAGCTGTCTCTCTCTGGTCCCTGTACAGAGTTGTCCCCCATGGATGCTGTGCTGGCACTCACGTGTCCCTCCCCCCCCCATACTGTCACCTGTGAGTCTCAGGCCCATCTGGCTGGCTTCCCTTTCACGCTCCGTGTCCCCAGCCTGCCCCCCTGCCCGCTCGGTTACCTTCAGAGTGAGATGGTGAAGCCGAGCCCAGGACACCTCCGTCACCGACAACAAACTCCATAAAACAAAGAGGAAAGCCGAGGCCCCGAAACCGCCGTCACCCCGCAGCGCCATGTTTATTCCAACATCAGCATCCCTCTCACTTCCGGGAACTGGAGGGGCGACAAGACACGCCCCCTTGCCGGTCACATGACCTCCTGCTCGCCTCCTAGCTACTGGGGAGCGTGACGTCATCATCTGTGGCAGTAGCCGGGTCAGATAGAGGGAGCCGTGACAGGAGGGAGCCGGGTCAGATAGAGGGAGCCATGACAGGACCGAGCCGGGTCAGATAGAGGGAGCC